TTTCGCGTGTTCCGCTCGCGTCAGTCTCGCGGCAGTCTCGCCGCGACCGCCGCGTCCAAAGTCAAGGTGCACACACGCAGAGAGAGAGAGAGAGAGAGAAAGAGAGAAAATGCGTACAACGTGTACACCCACGTTTGAACATCTCGTGAACGCTTTGTATGTCACGGACGGCGACGCTGTCTGTTGACAAACGTCACTTTGGCAACTCGAACAACGGGAAACGTTGATGGACGCCGCTTCATAAATTAACGTAAACGCTCCGCGCGCGAAACTCTCGGGCTATGTGTGTCGCTGTATTCCCACGCATTCGGGAAGACATATTTCGACAAGTACGCAAATATTCGCAACCCTATGCATCTCTAACGTCGAGTCTGGTTTGATACTTCGTTTCAATCGATCTTATCAATTATCTTGGAGGTAGTTAGCCTGTAGCGTATCGGATATTCAGCGGCGATATTAAGGAGCTCCTTCATAAGTTTATTATTTACTGAAGGAAAAGGAACTTTCCTAGAACGTTATTTAATTATATAAGTAATAAATATTAATCTTTTGAACGTTTTCTAATTTCACAGACGTATAGATAGATAAATAGTATTTCTACCAATAGCAGTTATGCGCGATACTTCTCGGAATTTCGCCTGAGATCTCGCGAATCGGTCGGACAAGGAACGCAAAGCCGAAGGTAACTCGGAGATGAAAAATTTAGTCTCCGTGGAGTTCCGATAAAGTTCATTTGCATCCGATTACACTTAATATTCCACGGACGGTCGAATTCGCTTGAACCGGAGGACACCGTTCTCTTGTCCGAAGCGACTTTCGTTGCGCAAATTCCGCTCTCGTCCGATCGGATTCGATCCCGAGCGGGATTCCCGAGGACTCCGCGAGGACAATTTATTTTTTTACTTTCATTCGCGACCGCCTAATACAGATAACATGAATTCACACCGAGTCGCCGCTTCGCTGAGAGTCTTCGTAACGAGGATAATCTCGCCGGCGCAGGTGCATCGCGAGAGTAAAAGCGGCCGACCGAGGGAAAAGTCATCGCGGCTCGAGGTTGCGCAACGCGGTTCGCCGACTTTAGAACATTTTCCGTCAATCTCGTAATAGCAGCACGGATGCATCGCGCGGAATCCGCACCTGCTAATTCCGCGTGGAACGAGGCCCGTTCCTCGAGGAAACGACTTCCCCCCCCTCCGGATAAATAACAGGTTGCGCACGTGTATCGCCGATTATCGCCTTCACTCTCGATAAGAAAATAATCGAAAGCGAACGGGACGAGAGAAAGAGAGAGGTATATTCGCGCGTATTATCGCGAATTTACATAAAGCCTTCCCGCACGCTTTCGTCGTATCAATCCGCGCGATCGCTCGCGCCCGAGTCGTTCTCCTTTTCTTCCCTCCCCTCCCCCCTCTCTTTCCCTCTCGCTCTCATTTTTCCTCACTATTTCTACGTCGATGTCCCGCGCTCGGGGAAAGAATTGGTCGTTGAAAAAGTTGTTTGTAGAGCAGCTGAAACGCGTCTTCGAAGCGAGGACAACTAATGTCGTTTCCTACTGTACTTAAATTGATCATCTGCGCCGAGAAAAAGGTTTTAGGAAATTTTATTCCATCCAAGCAAATATCATCATCGGCACGCTACAAAGAAGCTAACGTTTCGATTAACAAACACGATTGTTAGACTTTTCAACGGATCTGTATCTTTATCTTAAGTGAACAATTCGCTTGAAACGAATTCTCTCATAAAGAAATTACTTGTTTCATTTTACATACATCGGAACCAAATGATATTTTATCTGGTTAAAAGATGTTATCTCAAGTAACAGTGTTATTGCGAGCACAGTTATGTATATATAACCAACCTTAGCTATATACGCGCTAATAATTTCGGCTGATGAAGTTAACACAGCGAATCTCATTAATGCTGTCTCATTCCGTATCCGAGTAGCAATGTGGTGGCCGAGTGGACGCTTTAATGACGTCTCATTGGCGTTAGAGATGTCATTAAGACATCATTAAGACGCTACTTGACGTCACCTTGCTATTTAGTTTATAGGCGTAGTGATATTGAACATTTCTAAACGGAAGCATTTACTTGTGCATTACGACCGTTGATAATTCGATGAGTCGGTTGCAACGGTTTTCTCCAAAGCCCGGCAATCATGATGCATGAATATTCAAAGTAATGCGCCTAATTAGAAATGTTTAATGTTACTATGCTTAAGAAATGGGACGATACAACTTTCGGCAACGATCAGCAAAATTCGAACCAGCCAGTGGGATTTAGCGGTCGGAGCTCCCGTTATCGGGAGTTTTACCGATTAATTGTTAATATGTTAACGCATATCGCGTTTTATTTCTGTGCTCTCACGCAACCTTATCTCTCTGTCAGCTGATTGAAGGGGGAATTTCTTCTTTCCGTTAATGAACGATCGCCAAATTGCCGAATTGTTGAAATTACTCCTCGTTAACGACGCTTTGCGACGATCTCGTTGACCTTGCAGCCCGCAGTGAACTAAGCCTAATTATCGCTCCTCTCCTTCGCGAAAGTCTCATTGCGCGATTCTCGCGAGTCGGGCGCTATCCTTGTTCCGGAAACAGTAGGATTATTGTTTTCGCTGTTCACATTGTACCGCGAAATATATCGCGCCCGGTATCTCTGCGATATCACGATAAACACGCGACTTCGCCGAGAAACGAGGCGTTTCGTTCGTTATCGACGATAATTCAACGCCCGTCTTCCTCAGAATTTGAATCTCGTAAGTGCTCAGTCACGAGGAAGTAAATGTTGTGTCTGACGTTGCTATACTAGCTAACAACTCACTTCTCCTAGTAGTCAGATAATGGCTAGATAAGTAAATTAGTTGATAGTTAAACAAAAAAGCTACAATTGGGAGGTGGAAAATCAGAACTAGTTGCTAGAAGGTAACATAACGCTCTTTTGCTCTTGCTCTTTTTTATTTAATTGTTAATGGATTAACGTACACTCAATTTTGATTTGGCCTCATTTTTTAATGCCGGTGATGGGTATGTAAGTAGCTAGATTATACACGGTAAAAATTTTGTGTTACAAATTGTCCACTGAAATTTTTCGCATCAACATGGAGAGTATGTTAAAAAGTGCTGCTAAATATATTTTTTGAAATTAACATATTCATTTAAGTAATTTAAATATTTAAATTATATATTAAAAAATTTAAATTAAATATTTAAATTACTTAAATGAATATTTAAATTAACACATTGTTAACACATTATTTCTTAACATACTCATATTTTGTTAAAGTAGCACAAAAATTTCAGTGGATGTTTTTAGTACAAAACTTTTTTTACTGTGTATATCTTAGAATAGATAGCACCATCTACTTTATCACAGTTGACATGTAACGGTTAGGCGATATCTAGAGATCATCAAATTCTGATCATCGATTCAACATTTTAGTGAATAATCAGCCAGTAGAAAGTAATAACGAGCCAAAAAATTTAATTTAGCGTTGTGCTAGCTAATTACTAACTTTCCTCAGTGAGGAATGACTGATCGAAATAATATCAAATCAGTGTCGATGCGATCAGATCTCATCGATACGCGATCAATCGCTGCAATGCATCGATAATTTTTTCGATGATTTTTCGATTTACGACGGCATGCGGTTATATTTTTTTTTATATTATCAATGTAAAATATAATCAGTTTTAATACATAGTTTGTATAATTGTTTTTTTATAATCTGTCAATTCGATATCGGTTTGATATCGATTGAAATCGATTCAAATTCAACTTAACATGCAGTTCCTTTGTAATTCAAATTTTATATACTTCTATATGATTTTGTGATACCTGATTGTATATGAAAAATGTTTTACCGGAAAATTTCGAATATTATTATAACACCAGACAATCGAATCGCTGACGGAAAATCGATTCCAGCTTAGCGTCGCAGTTTCAACATCAATCGAGATCTGTTTGATCATTCATTTTCTTCACTGGGTTTTGATCCAGGCCGATTAGACACATTTCTTCACGGGTTCTTGCATTTTCGCGCTCGTCCGTCACGCCTCGGTGTTCCCGCAAGTTATCCGCTCGTTAATTTCGATGAATCGCTCCCTTTTTGACGAGGCACTTTTCGTCGTACGCGATAGGACGATAGGCGAGTGAGTGCCGGCGATTCGACGAACTGTCAAAAATTCAGGTCGCCTTTAATTTTAGTAGTCGACAAGTCAGGGCTAGATTCGCAGCGACACGATAACTACGTCGAGGTGATTCCTTTGCCGACGAACAATCGATCACTTCTTCCTCCTCCTCTTTTGCCCCCTCTTCTATTTTTACCTCGTTAACGCGGAAAATTTTCCGAACGGACGTATTATATTTCATAGCTCGCGACATTCGCCGCATTATCTGCGCGAGGAACAAAAATAATTGTTATCTTTCTACCGGCCCGGTAAACAATAACGACAAGTAGATGTTTATATCGCTTGTGTATACGCTGTTCTTCTGTCTCTCTCTCTCTCTCTCTCTCTCTCTCTCTCTCTTTTCCTCAAAAGAGGCAGACAGAGCTTATTTCGAAATTCTCGGCCGGTGCTTGAATAATGAAAAATTTCGTATTATCTACCTGGCTCTTATCGGCTTGCAAATATATTTTTACGGAAACGTGCGATCGCGGGCGGTCGCGCGCGCAACGTATCATCATTATCGTCGTCACGATGACGTGCAACAATCGCCAATAAATAAAGCACCGTCGTTGAGTATCGAAGCGTCTCTAATTAACGTCGTTCGTGGTGAATGTACTTTCGCGTTCGGCGTTTCGTGTCGTTACGTGCGCGCGCGATAACGCCTATCGCGAATGCAAAAAACGTTTGTACAATTCTGACTTTTCTCTTTTTTCTCTCTCTCTCTCTCTCTCTCTCTCTGTCTCTTTCTTACGCGCTCCCATTCGCGTTGAGAATCAGCGATTCGCTCTTTTTTTTTTCACGTCCCTTTTTTCTACGATCCTCTCTTCTCCGTAGGAAGAATTGCGGCGCGCAAGACCCGGAGAAGACGTCGCTGGTGGACTCTGCGTTACTTCCAAAATTCCAGCCGTCCACGCTGCCGAATAATGACGAGAAAATTGCGAACGGCAGCGGCGCGCACGATGACCCGGAGGACGCACGGCCGCTCCGGGGTAGCGCCGTCAGGCAAGTCCTGGCCTCCCTGGTCGCCCAGCTTGGCACCATCAACACCGGCATGACCTTCGGCTTCTCCGCCATCGCCTTACCGCAACTTCAAGAGCCGAACAGCACCATTCCCATCACGGAGGGCTCCACGGAGGAATCATGGATCGGTATGTAGAGGGGGAGAGAGAGAGAGAGAGAGAGAGAGAGAATAGCATAGTTATCTTTTATCTCTCGCAAGGAAGTAACATTAACATTGGACCTTCGTTAGTCGCAATATTTTTCACTCACGTGTGCATGGTCGCAATGTATATCTCACAGATACCATTAATTTTCCTGTTATTTTTCTCCGCCTGTTGAAACAATTTCTCTTTCATTAGCACTTGACTAATAGAGCAGACACTAAAAGTACACAAAAAACAGTGGGCGACAAAGAGAACAAAGAAGAAACATTGAACGAGAACGAGTTCGATCCCGAAGCAACGTGTAGCAACGGCGATACGCCTGAAGGTTGATATTAATGTTAAAATATTAATGTTAACATTAATATTAACATCAATGTTAATATTACTTCCTTGAAAGATAATTATTCTAAACATTCGAGATCTCCTCTTGCAATATTAATATCGTAATCTCATGTAATATATTAATATATTATATCAATGATATATTATGTAACATTAACCCCTTGACATACAATGACGAGTCTGACACGTCAAGCGCTTTTTTCGGCGGACGCCGTGCAGTTTACAATTAGATTACATAGTTGCATAATACATAAAATGTACTCTTTCTCAGCTTTCACGTAACTGTTCAGTTGAGCGAAATTAAATAGTATTTTTTGGTCGCATTAAGTTCCATTTAATTTGTATGTCAAGGGGTTAATATTATAAAGATCCCAGAAATTGATATTTAATAACATTCGTTAGATTAAGAGGAATAATATCGAGAAGCTTCCTTGATCAAATGTTAATATTCATGTTTTAATATTTTAATATTATTTCCTCGAGGTAAAAGATAGCTGTACCGTTCCACATTTAGAACTCTCTTTTGCAATATTAACATTAATATCATAACAATGCTTAACATATATATTGATATTGTGTTGATAATATATTGATATTACGAGGGATCCTGACAACACTTGTTAGCTAAAAGGAAAAATAGCAAAGAGCTCCTTCGACATGAATATTATCGACATTTCTATCTCTTCATTCAATACGACGATAGAAATCAAAAGTAAAAGAAGAAAGTGATGATAATAACGGCAACGTTCATCCCTCTTCTTGCAGCTAGCATGTCCTCCATCGGCACGCCGATCGGCTGCCTCATGTCGGGCTACATGATGGACATGTTCGGCAGGAAGCGGTCGCTCATCATCACCGAGATCCCAGCCCTCCTCGGCTGGCTGTTAATCGCGTTCGCCAGCGACATACGCATGATATACGCCGGCCGCTTCTTCGTCGGCCTCGGCTCGGGCATGGTGGGCGCGCCGGCACGCGTCTACACCAGCGAGGTGACGCAGCCTCATCTGCGTGGAATGCTGACCGCGTTCTCGAGCGTGGGCGTCAGCACGGGGGTGCTGATCGAGTACGCGTTGGGCAGCGTCCTCACGTGGAACATCTGCGCGGCGATCAGCGGCGTCCTACCTCTCACCGCCCTGCTGCTGATGTTCCTCTTCCCCGAGACACCGTCTTACCTCATATCGCGCAGCAAGCCGGACCAGGCGAAGAAGGCGCTGCAAAAGTTCCGCGGCAGTACTTACAACGTGAACCAGGAGATGGAGACGTTGCTGGAGTTCTCGAATAAGAACAACATCAAGCGGCTGACCGGCTTCCGTGAGATCGTGTGCGCCTTGCTGAAGCCGAACGCCCTCAAGCCGTTCGCCCTGTTGTTCCTTTACTTCCTCATCTACCAGTGGTCGGGCACCAATGTCATCACCTTCTACGCGGTCGAGATCTTCAAGGATTCGGGCGCGAGCATGAACAAGTATCTGGCGGCGGTGATCCTCGGTATCGTCCGACTGACTTCGACGATCGTCGCGTGCGTCCTCTGTAGAAAATGCGGCAGACGGCCGCTCACGATGGTGTCGTCCATCGGATGCGGCCTCTCCATGATGGGACTGGGCGGCTACATGTGGCTGAAGAATCACTGGGTCGCGAACGCGATGCCGCTGGTAGCCACGTGGGTCCCGGTCGCTTGTATCTTCTCGTACACGGTGACCTGCACGCTGGGCTTCCTGGTGATACCGTGGGTGATGATCGGCGAGGTCTATCCCGTCCAGGTGCGCGGCATCGCCGGCGGCCTGACCACCATGGCGGCCCACTCGTTCGTCTTCATGGTGGTGAAGACCTACCCGTTCTTGGCGAGCGTGCTCACCCGCCACGGCACGTTCATCCTCTACGGCTGCATCTCGCTGTTCGGCACGGCTTACTTCTACATATGTCTTCCGGAAACCAAAGGCAGAACGTTGCAGGAGATCGAGGATTATTTCTCCGGGAGGGGGGACGCTCTGGTGACCGGCAGGATAAGCAACAAGCCAAAGGTCTTAGAGATTAAGAAGGGCCACATATTACCGTGAACGGTACCAACCCGCTCTCTCGCGAGAGCCGTCGCTTCTCAGGAGAGAACTCGCGGCATTTTCGCCCGTGGCGCGATTTAAAACCCGCGTAGAACGAGGAGGGCAACGCGGCGCTGACGTACGTAGAAGCTGTCTTATATCTACTTTTTACCGCGGGATCACGAAACGGGCAAAGTACTCAGACGTAGACGTCTACTTCGCAACGAATGTACGTATGTAAGATGTAAGGTGCGACGAGGAAGTTACCGAGGGAATACATTTAGGCGCCATAGAGGAGTGTGCACACACACACATACACACTGCTGCGAAAGTGTATATAAATGAATTCACGAAGGGAAAACTGTTATTGTTATGCGTGCTTTTGTTTGCGAAAGCGATCGTACGAGGAAAAAGATCAGTCTCGAGTCGAGAATGGATATTCTAGTCTTTTCAGAAGATTTTTAGCCTCGAGTTTAAGCAACACTTTCATTAATATGAATTCAATGAGATCAAGACTAAAAGTCCCCTGAGAAGATTGTGATATTCGCTTATGTGCGAGAACATCTATTCTTGATTTCAGACTAATTTTCTTTCCGTGCGTGTACACTCGATTTCAACGAGATTTGTACGCTTCTTCCTTCGATGCGGCTCGTGACGCGGGCAATGAGAGCGCACAACTTCTGTAAATTAAATTAAAAACAAGTACTCTCATTGGTCATCTGATCCGAAATTCGTCGAAGGGGGAAGTATTCGAATAATGGTTTTGAAACCAAATGTACGTGGGAGATGATCGACTTTGTACGAGTGAATTTTTAGCCTTGGCATTCTCATGACGTCGATCACGAACGATACGAAGCTCGCGGAGCGTTCCTCGAGCGAAGTGAAGCAAGAAAGCGCGAATTCCCAGCACGAGTTTTCATTCGCGCGGTGACAAGGAAACTTATTCCCTGATGACGTAATCAACGATGTATACACGAAACGAAAGAAAATGGTGCTATTTATTTTATCATAGTATTAAACCGTGACGTCTGTGTGCGTGATGTAACCGTGTAACCACCGCGGTGGAAGAAAGTTCGTATGCCTGTCGGCAAACTGTAAAAACGATTGCATCGTAGGAATTATATTTTAGAGTAATGAAAATGTCTTATCTCAAGCGGGGCCCACGATGAGAATTTAAGGAATTTAAGGAAACTGACCAATTATAATTGATTTTTCTCCTATAACTCGACTGTGGCTGGGTAAATTTCTCGCGCCTTAAATTCTCATTGCAGACCGATGGCTTCACGCGCCGACAGAACGCGGCTAAAATATTTTATCGGAGAACCGAGTCGAGAATCCCCAGATATCTATTTATTGTAAAACGCACAGTATTGTTCTCTCAATTTGTTACACGTTCGATAACTCGAATCGGCACGCTGTGCTTTTAGGAATACCGGTGAAATTTCTCACGTGTTATATGCCTGCAAGATGCCTTGACACACGATTGTTACTTATGATAGACCTTTAACGAATAACTTGCATGAATGGTATATATTTTTTTATAAGAAAGTAATGGGGAAAAGAGAGAGAGAGAGAGAGAGAGAGAGAGAGAGAGAGAGAGAGAGAGAGAGAGAGAAAGTAAATCGTATACTGCTCGTTCAAGCTGGTTTTTATTTTCCTCGAATCACCCAACCTCTTCCCAGATACCGAATCACTTTAATCTCCTTGTGTATGCGTTGCACAGAGAGAAAAGACACGCGCATGCAATTATCACAAGAGTAAAATTTTATTGTGATACTTTGATATTTTTACTGATTACTGTGGTTTATACATAAATCGAGAGCTACAGCTTTAAAATAGGCTTGTTAAGTCTCGCATCTTTTTTGGCCTGTTTCTCGTCCCTTAACTTCTTGATCATCTCCAGAGGCAGGATCTCGCCCCTGAAAGTCCGCGGTATCCTTTCCTTGTTCAAGATATCGAGTCTCCCTTGAACGTACTTTTTCGCGTCAAAGGCCTGGGCCATCTTGATCTTAGCAATCATCTCGTTATTAAACCTCTTTATCTTCTCCACGTTTCGTCTCTGTCTCATCCTCGCCCACACGAACTTCATCTTCTTGCGCAACTTCCTTCGCTTGTGCTTCTTCATTTTTTTGCGTCTGATCACTATCATGCGAACCGCCTGCTTCTCGAAATTACCGCCAATCGTTGGTAGATCTACAGACGTTTGCGGCAGAGGAGAGTCGTATTCCAGCGGCAAGCTTTTGGTGGGTTCTCGCAGCGGAGGGATCCTTGCGACAGGCATTTCGATTATACTTGGTACCGATCGTCTGGTCGGTATGCCAAAATCTATACTGAGGGTTCCAGGTTTGAACTTGATATCATGTACCGGCACCGCGCTGGATGGCACATTGTGCATGAAACGGGAGACATCAAGGTTTATCTGCTGCGTTGAGTAGTACCTCGCAGTGGCAGTAGCAGCGGCAGCACCTGGAATATCGCACGAATGTTTTCAACACGCAAATACTCAGACAACTGACACTTCGTACCAACAATCGTAACGACAATTTCATACGTCTTTATTCATCTTTGTGCGGGAGAGACGTACGTAGTAAGGTTAAATCAGGTTATGATTCAGTCCCATGGTTAATTATGTAAGTGCTAATCGCTAGATAATACTCACCTATTCTGTCGACGGCAAGTTTCCGAAATGCAGCATATAACGTATTGATCGACATCCTGACGATTCATTCGATACACTTGCTGTTAAACAGCGCAGAACAATTCTCAAAAACCCATGTTTTTAAAGAACCACTCGAGTTACCTCGACTTGTACAGCAATCTCAGATGACGACACCGTCGTTACACGCGTTTTTCGTTTTCTTTCATTTAGAAGTAAACAAAGAGAAATTCCTTTTATTTTACTTCATCGTCAATTCGATCTGCTATTCGATTGCGTTGTTGAAGAATAAAATGTTTGTTCGATCCGCTGTTGAATCGCCTGAAAATGAAGGTTCGCCCGACCGGTCGTTGAGTAGTACTACTCGAAAAGATTTCTTGACTTATTATTGAGCTTACAACTCGATCTCCGTTGAAGAGATAGTGGGGACTCGTAGCGGAGGCTTTGCAACTAAAAGTCAACGTCATAGCCAAGACTCGAACCTATTCAGCAGCAGAGCGTTTCAAAAGGTTCGAGCGCTCAGTGCCGTATTTTCAATGGCGCATCAAAGGAACATTTCATAAATTTACTATTCAAACAAAATTTCTTTTCTATACGATAATCTATATAATTCATTAGATACCGAATAGTTATAAAACGATGGAAGATATAACAAAAATAAAGAAAGTAACGACTAAATATGATGCACCGAAGTTGTAGTGCAATCGCGCTACAACTGCCGGCGCGCTCTTACTGGCTCACGATAAATTACTTTATTAGACTTATTATTTTATTAGCCTTAATTACAACAATAATTGAAAAAGTTTCATGACGTATCGATATAAAAAGTAAATTGCATTTAATCCATTCGCGTCTTGATGGTTCTTTTTGTCACCTTATCCTTCTCTCTGAAAGCCAAACATGCCATTTGATACGTATAATTCGTGCTAATTCGAACACTCGGAAATCACGTTACCATCATTCGACTTATCACACTCACATAATATGGACAACAGCGCCCCATCCAGATATCGCGTCTCTGTCGAACGCATTGACCAAAGCCTGGCTGACGGTTTCGAAGAGATCCTCTGGCCCCAAGTTCGGTTCGTAAAGCGACTCGCACATACCGTAAAGCTGCTCGGTACACGTGCCGCCTACGACAAAGTCCTCGGCGATGTTCCTGGATCCGATCAGATCCATGTTACAGATGAACGGTTCGAACGTCACCGGATCCAAGCCAGCCACGATGGGCTCTACAAAGTACGGGCCAAATCTCCTCTCGTAGAGGAGATTCGAGATCATCGCGGTGAAGGTCTTCGGATGGATCTTCCTGTTCTCCTTCAGTTCGTAAAGATTTAAGCGGAAGCGTAGCCTCTCCATGACAGTCTGGGTGTCGCTGGCTAGTCCGGGCAGACTGACGTACAGATGCGGTCCCATCTCGTAGATCTTCTGGAAGTCGCACATGATCGTCTGCGCTTGTATGCCGAACCTGCGATCCGCCGCTATAGCCACGCACTCCTTACCCTTCATGGCTATCACAGCACCACCGTTGTACGCGAGAATACTCTGAAAGAAAGGAGTGATACACGGTGTACGGTGGTACATATACGAAGGCGCAACAATACCGAATTGTTCGCTTTTCGATCGTGTTCTCGCACATCTGTCACAAACGGTTATTGTGAAACGTGCAATGTCATTCGTATGGTTGAAAACAACATAACCCTTGCGGGGTCTCCCGTTGCCTCTCAAGGTGACATACCGCAGGTGACGAAGAAAAACAGGCTTCTTTCTTCGGAGCGATAAGATAACACGGGAGTAACATTTAACGGGACAATACGCACCATTCTTTCGCAGCAGGTATCCAACAATTCACAATAGGGGGGAAACCGTTTACCGCCGATCGCACAACAGCGCGACGCCTCGAAGCAACACCTCGAAGTGCGAGTCACGAACACGAATGATGCGGTGACGCAGAAGCGCGGTCGTCGCTTGCTCGGCTACGTCAACGGGATAAATCAGATAAATACGCTCGAGAGAGCGTCTAGTAAGAAAGGAGTATCAAAAAGTCACAGTTCCACGTACAGTTAGTCACAAAAAGGTCGCAATGTTTTTCTCGACGAGTTTTCCAACGCACCTCGTATTCAATAAATTAGGGTGCTTTCTAACAAGTGAAACACACGTGGTCCGTTCCTTTTAGTGGCACCGCTGCACTGAATGTAATAAGTTGAAGTGAGATAAGTATGTGCTTTCTCACTTCAACTTATTGCACCAGTTCAGCGGTGCAGTTAAAAAGAACAGATCAACGGTGTTATATAGCTTAAACACAAAGTTATTTTATTGGGTATACGTTATATGAGTTATCTTCTAAGATAACGTGTAATTAATAACATAGTTTTCTATAATATATAACGCTGTGTTCCTTGATGGAAAGCACTCATAACTGATCTGTCCGTTTTAGTTGAATTGGCTGCACTTAGTTCAAGAAATCTACACCCTGATGGAAATGTTATGCTGAAAATCTTACTGAAATTTCCTTTCAATCGACCATATTTCATTATCGTTCTGTCAATGCACATTGCCAGTTAAATTCGGTGAATTTCAACGGTATATTTTAATTTTCTTTACATTTGAGTGCAGATACTATGAACTTGATGAACAGTAAAAGTTACTAAAAAATTACTGAAATATATAACGATAAATATTTGAAAGTAAATCATCATTTTTCTATCATGAAATTCAATATAACGTTATGAAATATTGAGAAAGAGTAGTAAAAAATTTTTTTAATATTAACGTGAAATTTATCGAGTTAAATTGAAAACCGTGTATATTAATGAAATGGGGTCAATTGAGAGAGTATTTCAGCAAAATATTCCCATCAGAGCAGTGAAGCGCAAGAATCTCACACGTACACTTCAATACGTACGTAAACTTTTCGACTAGCTCGGCTAAAAGGAACAGACTTCCGAACGCACCTCATGATGAAAGTAGAAACGGGCACAATTCGTCCCTCTTTCTCTCTCTCTTTTTCCATCTCTCTCTTTCTCTCTCGCTTCCACGGGAGCGCGACGCGCTCAGTTTCAGCGGGCGCGCCCGCAGATGTCTCCGGCGCTGCAAAAGTTGCGCGTTCGCTGGCACGCCGCTCGGGGAAAGGCGCAAAAAAAGTCGCGAAACATGGCCGTGCAATGTTATTGAGGATTCCGCGAGTCGAGACGGCGAGAGAATTGCGCGTTCGAGGGAGTGCGACAGAGAGAGAGGGAGACACGTCGTGCCGCGCCAGGGAAGAGAAAGGGTCGGCGAGGAGGAGCGCAGGAGAAGAACGGGAAGAGGAAGAGGAGGAAGAAGGTGATCGCGTTGTTGTGCTCCCGCTGGTAAATTGCGGTACAACGGCCAGTGTGACAGCGGACGAGGAGCAGCGGAACAGCGGCCGGAGAACACGGAACGGACGGACGGACGGGCGACGGTGACTGCGAAAAATGCGTTCGATCGCGGCGAGTCATCGCGGCGAGTGTCATGCATCCCGCAGCAGGGAATGACTCGCGCCCCCGCCCCAAAAATAATCGGCCCAGTACGGTTCGTCATTGCGGTGGCTGAGGAGTACGATCGGCGATCTACGGTTCTGACCTCCTGCGCTCGCAGCCCCCACGGCGGGCTCAGCAGCCATCGGCGGCAACGATCCGGGTTCTCCCGTGCGTGACTTTTTGGTTAGTGGTTTTCTCAGCACGACCATCTGGCGCATACGATGGAGTCACTCGCTCGGTGTGTGTGTGTGTGTGTGAGAGAGAGAAAGAGCGAGCGAGCCAGTCAATCAGCCAACGAGTAGTCAGCTGTGTGGTGCTGATAGCGGCTACGAGACACGCGCCAGATCAAGTGCGTGCCTCCCTCATGTGACGACGGTAACTCCGTCATCGTTGTCCAACGTCGTCGGCTATCGTCGAGAATAACTCGCTATGCGTTCTAATCGATATTTCGCAATAGCCGATATAGCGCGGGTTAAGCGCGTGATGAGAGAGCGCGTCGAACGTCGCTCGGCACGCACGCACTTTCACCGTCTCGCAGCGGCAAAACTCGCGTGCGCCATTAAGCCGATGCGCGATTTTGAACGGCTGAGCGAACGGCTGCTGCTGCCGTTGGCAGCGACGAGTTCGTCGTCGCGGGTTCACGAGATCCGGAGCAAGATCGCGATCGGGCCTGTGTTCTCTCTCTCTTTCTCTCGCGCGCGCGTGCAGAGATAGAATGAGAGAGAGCGTCCCCTTTCTATGTAAATTCGCGCACAGAGTGCGGGCTGCACCGGTGGGGAAAATTAGAGCGGCCATGAAACTCGCGCGCGTGTATTTTACTTTTATGTTATTTTTAAACCGATGATGTACAAAACATCCGCGAACGAACAAAGCCCTGTAAACTCTTTCTCTTTCTCTCTCTCTCTCTGCCGGCGCTTTCGGTGAAGATTATTCTCGGAACTTGCCTCTCTTTCTCTCTCTATCTCTCTCTTTCTCGCTTTCTCTCTCTCACTCTGTCTGTTCGGAATTGGAATATTCCTCGATATTTTCCCAGCCGGTCGAATTTCGCGAATACACTCAAGCTCACTTCCTCACGTGTGTCAATTGAACTGTTGGTCTCACAGTGGTGTCACCTTGCAGGTTTCGTGGTGTTAGGAAACTCGCAGAATCAGGCGGTCACGCTGAGATCGAATCCATTGGCAGTGTGTGCGCGGATCCAGGGGAAGAATGTCACTGAAACCCAAGAAGGTAGACTTCACTCAGACCTGGGATGTACTGCAAGAGACCGTAAAGGGAGTAATAACGTTAGCAAATGTCTCACGAGCCACATGGAATGACAGATTTAGGTATACGAGCCGAATCATTCGCCCGATCGCACGGGCTGTGTGTTTCGATATTCACTGCTGGAAATCTATAGTTCGTGTTATGTACGCTATATGATCTATACTATAGATTCTCGGTACGGACAATGAATATCGGAGCACAGGAACACCGAGGCCCGCATTCATAGTCAGATCTTATATCTAAAACCATCTTTAGTTTATCTTTAGTTTATCTTCAGATACTGTATGGCTCATTTCATTGACCGTGAAACATCTGAAGATGTTTACTTAAAACGATCTTAAGTATAAGACCCGACTATGAATACCGTTTCCTCGGACCAATGAAAATGCCCCACCTAGGAGGATCTGCCCGATCGGATTCAGAGTCACAGGACGCATTCTTCTCGTCCTCAGTAGTACATTTGAGCCGTCCTGTACGAACCCATGGCTGCTTCGCCAATGACCTGGGGCCACTCGGTCCTTGCGTCCCCTGTCTCTCAGTTTCCCGAGTGTGTCAGCCCGATCCTTCCGGATGGGGCATCTTCAATGCCTCTCGTTGTATATTGTTTAATTGACGGGAAGAGACCCATTGCGCGCGTGATTCGATTGTGATTGCAGTGACGTCTATTCCTTGTGCGTCGCATATCCGGAACCACTGGCGGACCGTTTGTACAACGAGACAAAGAGGTTTCTGGACAACCATGTCTTCCAGTTATTGACAGAGGTCCGCGCCCATGGCGAGTCGGATCTGCTGCAGGCGTACCACCGGGCCTGGACCGAGTATTCGCAAGGCATCAACTACTTACACCGCTTGTATCTATACCTCAATCAGCAGCACATCAAGAAGCAGAAGCTCTCGGAGGCCGAGCTCATCTACGGCACGTCTTCCTCCATGGCGGTCGACTACCAGGAGCAGATGGAGATCGGCGAACTCGGTCTGGACATCTGGAAGAGGAAGATGATAAGCCCGCTCAGGAGTTCGCTCGTTTCCCTGTTACTCGAGAGCATCCAGGCGGACAGAAACGGGGAAGCACAGCCTGCCACCACCGACGTGATATGCGGTGTTATACAAAGCTTCGTGCGAGTAGAAGAATACAAGTTGAAAGGACAATTAGATGTAATATATATATATAATTTCGCATATTCCCGATTATACGCTTTTTTTGTATTCCGTTCGTCGCTTACTCCCTGTTAACCCCGCGCGTGAACGCGTTCGCTAAACTGAAGTCCCGTTTTCCCCGGTGTTCAGATGTATCAAGAAATTTTCGAGGGTCCCTTTTTGGAAGCGAGCGGCGAGTTTTATTCGAGAGAAGCGTGGGAATTGCTTCAGCAGTTGGACGTCACACGTTACATGGAACGAGTCACGTGGAGGCTCAGCCAAGAGGAGCTGCGCGCCCACAAGTACCTTCATTCGAGTTCCGTGCCGAAAGTACGTTCCTCGCCCCGGTCGTGACTAGTCGAGGCAACTCGAGGTGATACGATAACGATGTGCTTTTCAGGTGAGAGCGTGCTGCGAGGACAAGATGGTGAACGCGCAAGCCAGTTGGCTGCACACGGAAGCGAAGATCATGATAGAGAACGAGCGCAGGCGAGACTTGTCCCTTCTGTATCCTCTGCTGAAGCCCCTGCCGTCGGGTTTAAGTCCACTTGTACAAAAACTCACTCAACACATCACGCAGCAGGGATTACAGGCAATCGGGCCTTTGCAGGGGGAAAATGTAAGCGACTTGCGCGGTGATGTATGTGTGTGTGAAAACATCCGTAACTCTGTGATTCCAGGTATATACGCAATTTGTGGAGAGCATACTGGACGTACATTCTAAGTATTCAGAATTGATCAAAGATGTGTTCAAAGCGGATCAGAGTTTCGTCGGCGCGCTTGACAAGGCTTGTTCTGCAGTCGTAAATTACAGGCCTGTGCCGAGGCAACCAGCGCGAGCACCCGAATTGGTAAATTCGCTAGCAATTAAATTTTCATTCGCCAAAAGCGAGCGATAATTATTTCCTACACGGCACGATGCCTCTCTCTTTCTCCCTTTATCAGTAATATCGATAATAACGGTGTGCGTTTTTATTCAGTTGGCGAAGTATTGCGATTCTCTGCTGAAGAAGTCGGCCAAGGCTGCCTCCGAGAGCGAGATCGAGGAGAAGTTGGCCCGCTCCATCACCGTGTTCAAATACGTGGACGACAAGGACGTGTTCCAGAAGTTCTACGCGCGTATGTTGGCGAAACGGTTGATACACCAGCAGTCACAGTCGATGGACGCCGAGGAGGTGATGATCGACCGGCTGAAGCAGGCGTGCGGCTACGAGTTCACGAACAAACTGCATCGCATGTTCACCGACATGTCCGTGTCGACGGACCTGAACGCGAAGTTCACGACTACCTTGCGCGAGGGTGATCGGGAGAATCAGTTGGGCATCGGTTTCGTGGTATACGTTTTGCAAGCGGGCGCTTGGCCTCTCGGCTTGCCACCCTCTCCGGGGCCGTTTCACGTACCGCAGCAGCTGGAGAAATCCGTGCAGGCATTCGAAACGTTCTATCACGCGCAGTTCAGCGGGCGCAAGCTCACGTGGCTGCACCACCTGTGCCAGGGCGAGCTGAAGTTCAATTACCTGAAGAAGTCGTACCTGGTAACCGTGCAGACGTATCAGATGGCGCTGCTGCTGCTGTTCGAGCACTGCGACGCGATACAGTGCCGGGAGGCGGCCGCATCGCTGCGCCTGTCGCACGATCAGCTGGTGAAGCACGCCGCGAGCCTCGTCGATTGCAAGATCCTCATCAAGTCCACGGAAGGCGAACTCGAGGAAGACACCGTCCTCACGCTCAATTTCGATTACTACAACAAGAGAACCAAGTTCCGTGTGACCGGTGCCATCCAGCGAGACGCGCCGCATGACGCGGAGGCCACGCATCGTAGCGTGGACGACGATAGGAAATTGTACCTGCAAGCAGCGATAGTTCGCATCATGAAGAGCCGTAAGCTGTTGAGACACAATTTACTTGTACAGGAGGTGAGTTCATCGTTGTTTCTTCCTCGTCCGTACAATCAGTGCCGGATGGGCTGCGACACTTCCCTCTCTTCGACGAGTCTCGCAACAGGCCTGCTTTCTGCTCCTTGACTAGAACGGCAATTGGAACTTCGTTCCTTTTTCCTTCGAGGCTAAGTTGTATACTTGTTTCATTCTAACGGTGAACTATTGCTGTATGATTGTTGCTAATTAAGGAACAGAAAGCAGACCTGACATATCTAAAATTGGTCTTTTTTTATTTTACTTCGATTTGAAGATTCGTCTTCTCTTATTTCTTCTTATTGCGTCGTGTCGCAATCTTCCCGCCGCTGACTGCAAGTGCGAGTCGCACGTAGACTCGCCGGGGCACAGCATTTAAACCTGTTAACGGTGTTATTTCAGGTGCTGAGTCAATCAAGAGTCACGTTCGCACCTTCTATCGGGATGATAAAGAAGTGCATCGAAGCCCTTATAGATAAACAATACATTGAGCGTACGGCAAATAGCGCGGACGAGTATTCATATGTCGCGTAACCTTCTAACATCTGTCACTAATTTATTTCACTCGAGAGATGCGTCCCATAAGACAAATTTGCTGAGAAAAATATCAAAGCTCCGATCGGCCAAGTGATTAAATCAATTACGATTCAGCGATCCATTCAGCATTTTCCTTTTCGACATAATCAATCTGAAAAGGGAGAAAGTCAAACAATAATAATAATAATAATAAGACTCCGTGTCAATGAAAGTTCCACGAATCTCAAAATGGCATGATGAAGGATCGGGAAGAGCATCTTAGAAAGACCGCTTATTTGCTCTTTAGATGGACCGATTAATACCTTAGTTGATTTACTGACTTGTAATATATGCACACTGAATAAAGATGATGTTACTATTTTATATCGGAGTAACATGTTTTGGCGGGGTAATTTTTACACGATACGAGTTCGTTGCGTCCTCCGAAACGGGGGAATTTATATTTCGGGTGATCTACTCTCTCTCTCTCTCTCTCTCCCCCGAGATAGCCTGGTATCTACATATTCTCTTTACAAAATAACCATTCTTCATTCCGAGACTGGTTTTCTCGACCAACCATATTCACACGCGATATTCGCAATGTAAGGCCGCACTTGTTCTTAAATTACATAACGTTACACGTCTCTCTCTCTCTCTCTCTCTCTCTTTCTCTCTCTCTCTCTCTCTCTCTCTCTCTCTCTCTCTGTATATATATATGCCAAACGTTAAACGTGCAAGTCGCAACGTCCCTTTTCGTTCAAAATACATATCGCCGTTCACGAGTTCCCAAACATCCTATGAACTCACACTTCACGATATCTTTCAGTTACGGTTATTGCATGAGTTTTTACTTTAGACTACGTTTAGTTAATCGTCGTGTAACTTCGCCGAGGAACCTAGCGCCATGGTCTGTGTGTGTGTGTGTGTGTGTGTGTGTGTATATATATATATATACAGATATATATATATATATATATATCTATATATATATATATATATATATATATCTCTGTTCTTAACGTTATTAGGAACGTGGCGGTTTCAATTGTAATAATTCCGGGTCAAGCAGAGAGTTGTCGGCTTCCGCTTCCGACGGTTTGTTCATGTTGCTTGCGATAAGGGAGGATGTGCTGTCGGTGTTGTACGGGGAGAAGCCAGTCCACTCCATGCCGAGGTAGATGGGAGGAGGACTGCACGGCGACTCCAACAGCAAGTGATCCGCCTGCTGCGATTGGTGTTGCTGCTGCTGCATTTCCTGGCAGTCTGACGGCGGCAAGTGCGGCGTCATGTGAGTCGCGATCTTACACTGCTTCTCTTGCTTGCGCCACTTCGCCCTTCTGTTTTGAAACCAGACCTGTCCCCCCCATCGAGAGCAAAAGTACAGTCTCACACACACGAACGCTTTCAATTAGACAAATCCCGCATGTGTCGAATGTGTGCGCAGAAAGGAAATAGCCTTAGAGCGAGAATAGATATTATTGTGTGTATGTGTGCATGTGTGGGTACGAACAAGAATATAATATTCTTGGAAGATTTTTAGTCTTTTAAACTGAGTTCAAGTGATACTTTTACGTCAATATAAATTCAATCGACTAAAAATGGACCGAACATCTCCTGAGAAGATTATAATGTTCTTACTTAGATATGAGAATATCTATTCTTGATTTAAGAATTTATTTTTGTTTAAGATTTATTATTCTTGATGTGAGACTAATTTCTTTTTCAATGTGTGTGTGTGTGTGTGTGTGTGTGTGTGTATTCGACGAGAGAGACATGCAGACATTACTTGTACTCTAGCTTCCGTCAATTGGATGTGAACAGCGAGCTCCTCGCGGAAGAACACGTCGGGGTAGTGGGTCTTCTGGAAGGCGCGCTCGAGCTCCTCCAGCTGGAAGTTGGAGAACGTCGTGCGGTACCTGCGCTGCTTCCTCTTGCCGATCACGCAGGACGGTCTCTCCTCGCTCTCGGGGCTGGCCGAGAAGTCGTACGCTGCAAGAGAAGACAGCTTGTTTATCCGACTCGACCGACCGACCGACCGACAAGATGGACAGGACTGTCCCGGCGACGAATGACGTCAGTCCTCATCCTCACCTCTGCCTAACTAGGACGTTAGGCAGCTAGTTTGTAAAGACGTCAACGATGCATCAGTGGACACCCTGACACCCGAGAGAGAGAGAGAGAGAGAGAGTGTCCAACACGTGACACCCTGGCAGAGTGCTTCGTCACCCGCAGGCGGCAAACGCTTCATAACTGTTAAACTGATTACCACTAACTCTATTTAAGAAAAAAGGTCGGCTATCCGCTTAATGCATTTAGCAATAACTTAATTGAGCAACACCACCCCAACTTGGGGTAGAGCCGGGCGTGTCGGGCAGGGTCGACAGGAAGAGAGGAGAGAGAGAGACAGAGAGGCGGTTAATTAAATCAATCAGGTTCCGGGCCCGACCACGGTCAGTCAGCCAGCCCGTATTGCGTACTCACTGAATTTCGTCGGGAAGCAGACGGAGCTGGATTGCGCACCGATCAGGCCGGCCAAGGCAGTCGACTGCAGGTCGTCACCCTGGCTGATGTCGTCGGGAACACCGGACGCCACGATCGCGCCGGCCGACACCAGCGGGTCGCGCGGTATCGCGTCACCGACCAGGAACAATTGTCTACTGCTCTCGTTGCCGCTCTCGTCCTCCTCGTTCAGGTTCATGCTGCGTGCCGCCGAGGATGAGCCGACCGATCGCCGATGGGACGAGTTATAATTCAATTAATCGACGAGACACACGTGGTGCACGAATGTCAAGTCGCACGACGACGACGAGAACACACTTGCTTTACATCCGAGCGCACGCGGCAACTCCGACGACGGTTTCCTTCCGCCGTTTTCTTCGCTTTTTTTTTCCTTGCACCTGCACGACGTAGATAGGGTAGGGGACAGAGCGTACTTACCGTGAGCTCTCCCTCAAGGGGGGTAGTGAAGCCTAAAAAATGTGTTGCTTGTACACCGCGAATCGATAGCGCTCGGCGAAAAAAGTTGCGGGCTTCCTTCTCTCTCTCTCTCTCTCTCTCTCGCTCTCTCGTTCCGGACAGCGGATATACGCTCCTCGCCGACGAGTTCTCGCGATTTACCACTACGCTTTATGATTTCTCGCAGCTGGTGCACGGCGATGCACGGCTCCCGGCAAGATTCGTTGGCTGTACGCACGGTTAGGAGGGTACAAAGTAACAAGTGAGATATACAATTGCAATGAGGGACACATTGTTTATTACAGGAACGTGTTACAATTGAATTGACGGAGCGTCGGAATAAAGCACGCAGGGGATTTAACTTTGCAAAATTTATTGCTCGTGGTGTAGTGTATCACAATATGTACAAAAAACCTCCTCTACATTTGCCCAGTAATAAGTACGTAATAAATAAAATACACGTGTTAACAAGGTGCGCCTTGTATCTCCAACAGTGAAAAATATCGCTATCTCTATTATTACATAATAAATATATAATAGGCCGTACGCGCAAACGAAATGCGAGAACAATTATTTCGTAACGATGTGCTCGAGTTCACACACAACTGTGTCTATACTCGGTTCCGAAACGGTTCGAGCGCTCTTTTCCCCGATGCAGTCTGAAACGCAGCCGATGGCCCATTGAGGGGACTTATTTTCCCGTTGATTCCCAGAAGCTCTCTCATTGGATCATCATCGGCCGCGTTCCAAACTGCGTGCGAGGAAAAAGTTTGCGAACCGTATCGAAACGGAGCGTATATCATTATAGAATCATGAGATCGTTGACTTCTTACTTAATACATTACGTAAAAGGTAATATAGAAAAAAGACATAAAAATTGACTTATTTGATAAAAAGTTGAACGCACGTGAGAACTTGGCGATGTGTGTTCTCTCAATTTTGTATACAATCTTGCACGCTGTGTGATTGGTCCCGTTATATACAGCATGTGTGTATACATGAAGATGAGGACCGTTCGGAGATTTAGATATTTAGCCTTAGACGTAGAAGAGACGAACTCGACTGGTAGACACCAAGAGATCGTCGTCGAAGAACTTGGTCTCTATCACAACGTTGCCGCTGTTCGTAAGTAAAAAAGACAAATAAATAAAAAATACACGCGCGTATACATGTGCGCTTGCTTGTGTCTAATCACCTAATAAATGTACCTCTCAGAAGCTAAGCTAATTAAACTCCAATATTTATCAATTTCTTAATCTTATTATTAGAATATATAATATTGATCTTTCATTTTTCTAAATCGATTAGCTCAGCTTCTGAGAGATTAAAGCGAGGAGATCTCACCAGGGGAGAAACACAGATGTGAACTAAATTGTAGAAAGGATTCAATTCCATGAAGAGAAAACAGATAAAATTTTCCAATAATTCTCAAAAGATACGCTTTCCTACTGGCTGCGAGATGTGTTGCAATAATTGAAATTTTCACAATTTCCCTCTACAAAATAGTTGATTCCCCTTACTATTGATTTTTCACGTATCTATGCAACTTATTTTGTGAGATCTCTTTGTAAAAACTTGAAACACTCGTAAAATTTACTTACTTCAATACATTAGCTGGCATCATTTGACTCTCCGGTGCAGCTTGGATCAAACTCTGCCACGTGTTGGTGCTGTTGGGGATAACGAATCCAAACTCGAAGAACCACTCCTCCAAGCAACGACCCTTGAATAATACTTTCTGCTCCAGACGAAACCTTTCCATCGGTTCTGAAGAACTGAAATTGATTTCCCTCGATACCGCACGACAGCGCAGGATCTTCTTCGGTACTCTCGCCTCATGCTCTACGTCAGGTACTGATCTGGAATTACAAGTGTCACGTGATTAAGATCGCATCTGGTGTGAAGAGAACGCTTGTAAATTTTCTACGGAAAAGATTACTTACAAGTCTTCATTACCCTGCCAGAGAATTCTCCCGTTGTCAGCATCCCGCAAATTCATCCAATTACTGGAAATTTGAATGAAGAAAAAATACTCGTTACAATATTGTTGTGTACATTGTTGCGAACATGTCAAATTTATCGTTTTAAATTCACTTTCAGAGGCTGCACATATCTCTTCTTTGGCTATGGAGCATGAAAAACTGAATTTTGACAATCTTGAGCAAAAGATCGAACTATGAATACCGGCCTAAACCATTTCCGACGCTCAATCTTAACCTACAAATTACTGAACACATCACTGGGTTTCGAAAAAAAGCCGTGAAAAAGAATAAAATTAGTATAGAAATGTTAGTAAATTAATATCAAAAACGTACACTTGAAAGCCTTTGAGGATATCTTCTCCACGGGACGGCATTTTTCCAGTTGAACGTGATGGAAAAAGAAAGTGCAAACACTTGTCCTCGTATCTCCGAGCTGCTCTGCAGAGTACACAAAGGTGGACTGCCGATTATGGCGCGAGGGAAAGCGTTCTTTTCCGCAAGATGGCATTTTGTACGCTCACAACACAGGTCAGGTGATCGACAAGCCATACCCGTGCTTAGAATATGGGGTATATTAAAATGCAGGGCCTACCTCGAGTCCTACGCGTAATCCAATTTTGTTTCATTTCTATCTCTTATTTTTCTACTCTTTTTATTTTCTTTCTGCTATAGTCAATAATAATCTTCTTCTTTTTCCACGACTGTGTGGTGTTCGTATTTTCCGCTTTTCTTCTTCAGGGGGTGCTTAATGATACCCTATTCTGTGACGAAATATGTACACACCTGAGCTGAACTGTATCGCCTACGCATGCGCAACTTTTTGTCACGGGATGCCATTAAACTACGCGTACCTCGAAGGGTCGAAGAATCTAAAAGGAGGGCTAACGCCAAAATAATCGAGTTAATCCTTCCGGAAGAGTATTTCCAGGAATTGATGCGCTTCTGCGTCGCCATATTGCGCTACGCTGCATCGATGCTTCTGAGAAATTGATGAGAGGTAAAAATTACTCAATATGAAATACAGATATGCAAATTTAGCCCGTAGGTAATATGCGCCGGGTGATCAGCATTTTCTAGCAGTGATCGGGCCAATCACGAACTGTACAATAGTCGTCCGTTGAAAATTTGAAATTTACAGTTCGCACAAAAGTAATTTCGTGCAAAAAGCGCGAGACGCTGACGATAGGTTTGTTTTGTCTGTTTTTTTTTTCTGTTCTTTTTGCTGAGCTGGCTGCACAAGTTTTTTTTATTAGTTTTCATTCTTCTTCCGGAAAGTCTTAACTGTACATCTGGGTCTTTTTAAGTTCCCTAAATGTACACTAGTTCGGTAAAAAAAAAAAAACCCAATGGGATTCGACCTATGTGACCGATGAATAGCGAACTTCCACGACGAATTATGAATGACTGAAAGTCTGTAATTCCTGCGAACTTAGAATTAATTCCAGGAAATCCTTTTGCATAATTATAATACACACATTAATGTAGACGAAGACGGTTGACTTTATTCAAAAAACGGAGAAAATTAATTATAATTATAATTAACAAATTATAAAATTTGTTTCTCGAATAAACCTATACAACACGTTTTATCCGAGGGACGTCTCGGGGACGTCCTTAGAACATCTTGAACATCTTTAGGACATCCTTTGGGGTATGGGAAGTCACCTGTTTTCGCAGGTCAATTCGTCACGCGTCCATTATCAGAGTCTCTCCAACCGGATGTATTTGCACGAACTGTAAATTTCAAATTTCCAACGGACGACTATTTTACTATATTATACTGTGCGGTATTGTGTACTAATAAATTTGCGGCAAAACAGGACGACTGGGATTCCCTTGACAGAGAGAGAGAGAGTTTTTCTTCTTATCAATTCCAATATAAACAAAAGGGTCTTCTTAATAATTATTTTTCGTTACGATTATCACGGTTATAAGACTTCGTGGTCTCAAATCAAAAGCAGCCTTCACTCGCGTTTTTCCAACTTCCTCCTTGGTTTTTCAACCAGCATACTAATCGAAAATCTAATGGATTTCTGGGACACTGATAATGGCGGTGTCGTGTATATACAGTTATACAGCGTGTGCGGCAAGGCGCGAGAAAGGAGCCGCAAATACATCCGGTTAGAACGCGAGACGCTAACAATGGACGCGTCACGAATCGACCTTATGCAGTGAAAGATTTTGTGTTAAAAATGGTTAACTGAAATTTCTGTGATACTTTAAGGTGAATATGTTAAAAAATAATGTTAATAAGGTGAATATGTATATATATTAATATAACATACATTCGTGTACTTTTTAACAATTCTTCATGTTAAAGTAACACAAAAATTTCAGGATTAAAATGGATTTCTCTCTCCCTCCCTCTTTCCTTCTCTCTCTCTTCCTTTTTTAAAAAGAGAGAGAAAAATTTTTCACCATTTTCGACATAAACAAGATACAATCATGGTTATAATTATTTCTCGTTACGACTAACACGCGGTTATGAAATTTCGCAGCATCCCGGGGAATACGATACGAGGAATATCAACGAAGAGCAATGACATGTGGACGGCAGAATATCGGGTCTCTTTAATTGGATAATTGAGATTTGGGTAGGAAACGGGATCGGACGCGATGCTGAAAAGGAGAGGAGAGAGAGAGAGAGAGAGAGCGCGCGCGCGATCGCGCGCGATCCATTCTGCAACGATGCATTTGTGGAGCGGCCGCTGCTCTCCGCAGCGGGGATCGGGTGGCACACCGGGTCAGGCTAAAAAGTACATTGTGTGCCGAGCGGGAGATCGCCGGGGATTCCGTAGGATCGGCGCCCAGCGATCCGTTTACCCCCGAGCGGGCTGTGCCTCGCCTCAATGGGCACATAATTCGACCAACCGGGGGGAAAGAACAGCCGACGACGATCCCGTGACAATTAAGACGCGCTCGACTGGCGAATTCGATAAACAGGGTCGGCGGTCGGCGCGCGATCGATGATCCTGTTTTACTCGAAACGTTCGATCGCGACATTCGTCGAATCGCCGGCCGCTGAACCGATGAATTATTCCCGCGCTCCCTCTCGTGCCTTATTTATTTTTCGCAGCGTCTAGAATCCCCTCCCGTTTCTCCGAGAGGGAAGCTGCCGGTGTGCTCGAAAGATCAGAGAAAAACGCCTCTGATAGACGCGGCGGCCGTCTTTGAGAGTGGAAATCAGCCAAATTCCCGACACACGCGAAAGTGTTGCGCATCGAAAGATATGCGACGGCCCGAAAACTGCTCGTCCCCGATGCGCAGTGTACCTTAATTCCGCCTATGGTTTATTTCGGCGAGATCCCCGCGGAGAATAGAAGACGGAGGGACGCCCCGTCTTGGCCGGTTCCGAGAGAAACGGACGAGGCGACACCGCGACGACACCGAGCGAAACCGTGTCTCGGTGAAAAGGAGGGGAAAAAAAAGTGCCGCCGCCTTCAGCGAGGAATTACGCGATTTATGTGCTTTTTTCTCTCTCCCTCTCTATCTCTCTATCTCTCTCTACCCGCGTTTCAGACCGAGGGTGTCCTCCGCCCCGTCCACGGCCCCGTTCGCCTGCATCCTCTCCTGCACCAATACCCGACTTTCCGCCCGTCGTCGGTGTGTGTACACGTAAATACGTGCACGCGCGCGTGGGAGCTGGTTGCGCAACGGGGTGGGAATGAGCGACGGAGTTAGGTAGGAAAGGGAGGCGCGCGCGAGAGAGCGAGGATGAAAGCGTCGGGGAGAGCCGGGTCGGCCATGCGCGAATCCCCGAGCGCGCATTCACGTACACGTTAGGTACGGTAGGTGTGTGTGTGTGTGTGTGAAAGCGGGCGATCGTCAGACGAGCAGCCCTTCCGTGGCGCGGTGGTCGTGTGGGTGCAAGCGTGCGGGGCGCTGAGGGTGAGATCGGTGGGTGCTTCGGTGACGTCAGTGCTGATCGTCAGTTGCGCAGAGACGGGGTTGGTCACCGCGCTACGTCAGAATGACGGGCCGAGCGAGCCGATAAACCACCCTCTCGTCGGGACGCGCTCTCTGCGGCAGGCAGGCGGGCGGGCCAACGGTCCTAGGGGTAAACATCGCTTTCCGAACGTCGGTCCGCGTAGTCCGGCTAGTCGAGGAGCCCGCGTCGCCGCCGTTAATCGCCGTCTGCTCCTTCGCGTCGCGTATATACGCCGTCCGTTCTGTTGCAGAGGGGCCGCGAGTATGGGGCGACAGGGAGGAGCGGTGTCGTGAAAGCGGCTTTCCCCCGGTGCGTTAGGGTGGCTAGGGCGGCCGAGGCGGCTGGACGATGGCGAGCTCGGCGGTCGACGGGGTCGGCGACGACGGTACGGCGGGCGTGCCGGGCGGCGGACCCAGGAATCCCCTCACCTGCGGCGTCTGCCACGAATATTACAACGAGCCCTGCCTGCTCTCCTGCTTCCACACCTTCTGTGCCCGCTGCATACACGGCCCTCACATCGACGGGAAGGTCTCCTGCCCTATCTGCGGGTAGATAACCGATTCCTTCTATCAGTCGAACGCTCGCGACCTTACCCCCGGGGGCTCCTCCGTCGCCTCGTCCATTGTTTACACTTTGTCTCCGCCCGATTCCTTTCATCTTCGGCGAGCGTGCATTGTCTCGCTGTCGTTTTTACCGCTCGTCTCTCTCGCGCGTCACCGCCGCTCGCTTCATCGTACGACGACGCGTCGTCCTAACGTGTAATTTTGTAACCGACACAGGCAGCAGACGCAACTGAAGGAAGGTGCGCAACTACCACCGCCCGATCAGCTGATACGCCAATTGGTAGAGCTGGCGAACTCCGAGAATCCACCGTGTGCCAACTGCGACAAGCGTGACAAGTCAACCATGTTCTTCTGCACGACGTGCGGTACGTTCTTCGAAATTAAGGGGCGGTGCAGGGTGGTACCTGAACTCCTCCGCCGACAAGTAGTGCACTAGTTGCTGCTTCGTTACATTTACAATCATGTCTCGCTTCTCCCCCTTCCTCCTCCCCGTAAACTGCACAATCAGACCAGAGGAAAGCGTCTCCGTTGCCTTTTCTCACTTAATGCCGGCTTCAGCCCTCCGATGAGAGCGCTCGGTCTATTCTACGTATCCATCGTCTTGAGACGAATACGTGTGAAGAAGCGAGCTTTCGCGTGCATATCATTGCTAAGACCCTCTCACATCCCCAACGCAGGATCTCGTGCAAGTTTGTCGGTCAGAGTTCCGGTACACCCAGCATAAGCGTTTCCACGGTGCGGTTGGTGAAAGCAGCGCCGTACTCTTGCAGGACAAGCGCTGTGCACCCACTGCAGAGAGCACACCCACCGGGCGAAGATGTTCTCTTCCCACGAGGTGGTGCACATGAGCAAATGCGCCAAGGACACTCAGCGGCGGTGTCCCAGCCACGGGGAACAGTACATAATGTACAGCCAGAGTGCCAAATGCATGCTGTGCGCCACATGCTTCCGCGACACGCCCGCGGACGCGCGGGTGCACTGCGTCGACATAGAAAGTGCCTGGCAGCAGACGTCGAAGAAGATGGAGCGGGCGGTGAATTCCATATGCGAGCTCCAGGCGGGCATACGGGACGGCGTGCTGGCGCTGAAGTCCCAGCTGGACGAGCTGCGGCACAGCCTGGAGTCGGAGAAGCGGGCGCTGAGCGCGTTCTGCCAGGGGATGCAGGAGGCGATCACGAAGACGCACGCCACCGTGCTCGCGGAGCTGCAGCGTCAATTCGAGACGAAAGAGCGGATGGTCCGCACGCAGCTGCTGTCCCTGGGTAGCGCGCTTCCCGTCTTGCAGATGCACCTGATGCTGTGCACCGCCTTCACCAGCGGCGCGACGAAATATCAGTTCCTCGAGCTGGCCCACCCGATGCTGGAGCGGCTGAGCCGCGTCGCCCAGCTCGGCCACCCGTCGCGGCCGCCCCTGCTCGCGGCTCACATCAAGACGAATTACAGAAACGACTTCGCGCGCGCCCTGCAGCCCTACATAGGCCAGATGCCGTCGGTCAAGGAGTCCCTCTACGATCAGACACACACGATCGGCCAGCCGGAGCCGCAGGTGCTTCAGGTACGACGAATCGCGCGCGGAGATACCGTCCCTCGTTCTCCCCATGATCGCCTTCTTTACTTTCACATTACGACTTTCCTTTTCACCGCATTTCTCGCCCACGCGTAAGTATGTTGGCACGTTCACAGGTTAATCTCTTGTTCGATATGTATATATACATATGATGTGGCTTGTACTATGTACGTTGTATATGATTGGTAGCTGGCTAGCGCCGGAGTAGAGACGAGGTCCCCCTTGCAGTAGAGATCGAGCGCGAGATCGAGTCGCTCCTCAGAGCGGGATCAGAGTTGCGTTTTAGATCGCTAGATGCAGTGGTAGTCGATGAGAGAGATTCAGGCACGCGTTGCGTTACTGATATGCTGTGAAAAGCGGCCGTTGTATCTGTGTGAGACCCGCCCAGTCTGTTCGCGCCTTGCGTCAGGAATTCGTTTCCCCAACAGAGCAGCAAGACTGCTCAGAGGCTACCGTCCGGGAAGACCGGGACCGACGGCGGGCCCTTCTCCAATCACTGTCGGACCTTCGATACCCAGCTGAAGGAGCTCAGTCAGCAGCTGATGACGGTGAAGGAGCGCCTCGGGGAGCTCCATCGGGACGTCGCGCTCTTGAGAAGGGCGAACACCCCGCCGTTGGGCACGCGTTACGACCTCGTGGCGAGGGACTGCCGCTTGCTGGAACAGCAACTGGAGCATCATCAGATGGAGCTGGAACGGCTTAGGAACGTCTTCGACGCGCTCTGGGAGGAGCAGGTGTGCCGGATCCACATAGAGAAGGAGATCTTTCATTCTCAGGTGCGTATCCGGTGGGTTCCGACGGTCGGTTTTGTTACACGGTGTTCGCCCAGCTCACCCCCCGTCATCCGTCACTAGATGAACGACATACTGTCGCTGAGGAGCGAGGTGAAGAAGCTGCAGACGCTCGCCCAACAACTAGAGCCTTTCGTCAAGTCGTTCTCCACGGGCGTCGGCGCCGGGGAAGTGAGCATGGCCGCGTCGGACGCGGCCGACAACCAGCATCTGCAGGCACTCCTGGACCACCTGGCGCGTCTGCAGATGCAGGAGCCACCTCATCCGCCGGGTCAGGCGCCGACAAAGGATCACCGTCACCCACGTAGCACTGCCACGAGTGCTGACAACGCGTTGTACATGAAGGGTGAGCGGCGACGGAGAAAGTATTTTGCCGGCAAATCTGTCACGTGCCGAAGGATTTGTTTCGACAGGAAAAACATTTGTTAAGATGATTTATTATATATATATATATATATATATATATATATATTATAGATGTATTTATTCGGCTACGCCAGCAAAATACTTGTCCACATGCGGCTGGATAAAATTTCGTTCGATTTTCTCTAAACGCAAGGCGTATGTTCACCCGCGACCGTCGCGCATTCCCGTAGAAACGAAGGAAATTCCGACGCGATGTCGCACACCGTCCGGCGGCGTCGGCGCCGTCCTGGACTCGAGCGGCAACATCATGGTGTACGGCACGGCCAAGTCGACCGACCCGACGAAGAGGGGCGTGCTCAGCCAGCTGATCGAGAAGGCGCGGACGAAGGAGGATCGGAAGAAGTCGCCGGGCCGGGAGGACGGTCGCGACCGCAGCCAGAGCAGGCGCTCGCGGAAGTCGCCGGACAGCACGAAGCCGAAAACGCCGCCCGGACACTCGTCCGGCAGCAAAATGCGCTCGCTCTACCGCTCGTTGAAGGGCGGCACCGGCGACACCTCCGCCGAGGCGCTCGATCAGGCGGAGAGGGCCGATTCTCAGCAGCCGCCGTCTCACATCGGTAAGAAACGATGATCGCGCGCGCGAGAGCGAACAGAGAGAGCTGATCCAACCTGGTCTCACACGCAGGTCTGCCCTTCGTAGTGGTAGTAGTAATAGCGATTACACACAGCCCGGGCCCGAGTTTTCAGGTAGAGGCGTCGGACGTCGATACGACGTCGCGCCGACGCGGCAAACACCTCCGACTTACTCCACTGCCCGCCGCACACGCTTCTATGTATATATACTGTGTACATGTACAACGTGTAAATACATATACAGAGTAATAAAAAATATACGATGGTGCGCAACACGTACATCCACCGCCTTCGAGGCTGCTCCGACACGTCTCTCACCGTCGTCGTCGTCGTCGTCGTCGTGGTGACACGACGCGTGGACCGAATCCGTAATTTCTCAAGTTCCGGGAAAAAGTGATAATAAAACTGTTTTCCCGCGGGTCCCTTCGGTTTTCCATCACACAACGGGGAGAAATTCGTTTGGACAAATTCACATGTGCGTTCGGTCAAAAAAAAAAAACAAACACTTGCCGCATTCTTTTCCCGCAAATAAGGTGAGAAATTAAATGAATCCACGGGGGGAAAAATCGGGGGTAAACGGTTTTTCCTTTCGGAAACTTCACGACCGCACCCGAATTATTAATAATTCTCGACATCGAGACGACGCCATTGAGAAATGTATCGGAGCGAGAACGATATAGACAGAGCACACTTGCCCTCTCTCGACCACCCTTCAGCGAATTTTCAGCAACGCGACCGCCATTGACACGGCTGCCACTTTCTCTCTCTCTCTCTCTCTCTCTTTCCCCCCCTTAAAACGATGTCCGTGCTTCCCGCAGGAGACGAGAGCGAGTACCAGCGAATCTCTGAAGCATCGAGCATGGGCGAGGCGAAGAAGCGCGTGCAGGCGCAGGTGCACGCGGCACCGGCGGACGAGCAGCAGCCGATGCCGAAGCCCAGCAAGATCTATCCGGCGAGCGACTCGGAGGAGGTGTTCTACGCCGACGAGAAGGCCGACGCGAGGCGCCGCCGGCGCGCCAGCTGCGACAGCCTGAGCACCACCGGCTCCGGCAACAGCAGGCGATCGAGCATCGCCGACGGGACGGTAGGTCTACCAGCGCAACCCGCGCAGGACCCCCGGAAAGCACTGGTCGTTTTGATCGGACCGACACCGACGTCGTCTCTCGTGCAGAAACAGCGTTCCTGGGAAACCTTCCCGAGGCCCAAGAGCAAGCGCGCCGGCGAGGCTGGGGCGGTGTCGTCCCTTGGCCAGCTCAAGAAAGCGGACAGCTTCGAGGGTCACGAGGAGGCGGTGCGCACCTTGGTAGCGGCCGTGCAGGAGACGCGCTCCCAACTGAGACACCATCACCCCCATCATCATCGCCATCATCGCAAGAACAAGACGAACTGAAGGCGGCTCAGCGTCTCGTTCCCTGCCGTTCCGTTCACCAACGGCCACGTCGATACTTGAAAGTCACGCAGAACGGCGGACAGCCCGCTTCGCGATTAGGGGAACGCAGACGGCGGCTCGGCAGGACGAGTCGTGCGAGGAGTCCGTGACGAGCCTATTGCGTAGATAAGCGAAATTATCAAAAAAAAAAGACTAAACACCCGCGTGCCCGCCGCGTGGGTTTAAGTACTTGTTATTTAGTGAGCGAGTGAGAGAGAGAGAGAGAGAAAGAGAGAGAATGAGAGAGAGCGAGAGTAAATGTATTGTTGCGAGAGTGAACGTTATCGGTTTTTCGAAGATTTTGGACATTCTACTGAATACAACATAATAACGGATAGACATATGAAATTACAATAATAAAGTGAAGAGAGAAAGAATAAGGGAGGGGAAGGGAAGAGAGAGAGAAAGAGAGAGAAAGAGAGGGAGAGAGAGAGAGAGAGNGGGTGGGAGGGAGGGAGGGAGAAGAGAGAGAGAGAGAGAGAGAGAGAGACGAGTCCGTTCCGCGCGAATATGATAAAATCAGGAAATCTCTGTCGTAGGGACATAATCAATCGTCAATATGAGGCACCTTCGACAAGTGCACTTTCGTAATTTGCATTACTTTCTCGGAAGACTGTCAAATTTCTTTGAGATCCCGACCAAATGTGTGCGCGACGTTTGTATTGACTCCGACGTTTTTAACGTTTACATTATGTCTCTCTCACGTTGGGAGTTGCGCCGCGACCGTAACCGAGCCCACCCAAGTGCACGCGCGCGTTCCTCGACGGCGCTCAACTCCGTGGTCGATCTTTTTTATAGCGATTTAATTGCACTTTGAAGCGCCGAAGGGTTAGCGGTATCACTGCGAATCGTCGGCTGCGAGTCGTAGGCAAGAGATACGACTAAACTAGCGTGTTATCCGCTCGCTGTATTGTTGATGACGCGACCTGCCCGGGGCCGGTTGATACACACGTAGAGCCTTGATTAGGAATCTAGCGAGAGGGAGAAGTATTCTCGAAGAAGAAAACGCGCTCACGGCGATGTACAATAATAATAATTGCAAAGATACCGCGGTTGACGTTTCCGGACTGTCGTTCAAGTCACGTTGTATGCAGTCGGGACGTCACGGATTACGTTTACACGGCAACGCTAATTCGATTTAATAATAACCATAGTTATAACTTTTAATGTAAAATATGCAAACAATATTTTACACCGATACTGTAACATAGATTGTTCCCAGCAAACACCAACCAATAATAATATAACATCAATGTTATAATTCCCTTCTCAACAATGTAACTGTTACATAACATTATATTATACGCGTTATATTATATTTACACTGTTGAGTGGGAAATTACACAATATTGATGTTATGTTACTGTTTGCTGGATTGTTAATCTATATCTGTTTATTGAAGAGATATGTTATCGCTCGTAGCTGTTATTTAAAATTTGTCCCATGTGAAATATTCAGATCTGAATTTGGAGTTAAATGTGGGCTTTTCTATTTTAATCATATATGAGATTACATCAGTGAGCTAAAAAAAAACATTCAAGATTATGGTACATAGACAAACGTAAGCAATAAGAAAATTGATCAATCACAGTCGATTATTCTCTTTACGAACGAAGGATAATCGATTGTAATTGGTTAATTTTTTTACTGCTCAAGTTTTGCCGTTTACATTTTTGTGTGCGCCATGGGCTTCACATTTGGCTCTAAATTCAAGTCTGAGTATCTCACCTGAGACAAGTTTCAAGTAACGAATCTTAATACAAATCGTAGACATGTAGATTCGGTTTTAAAGAACCGTGTAAACGATAAAATCGTTTTGACATTGCCAATCTAAAAATATTCAAACGAGCATACTTTTTGGTTTTATTTATCTTGTAATGTACAGAGACTTTATTAATGTTGTCCCTAGACATAGTAACATTGAAAATGTCCAATTAGACGCGTTATTTTTTAATACTTGTGCATCATGCACTGCTGCTTTAGAGAATTATTGTCAATTCATGAAATTATCAACAGTTACGATGCACAAATAATGTTCCTGATTGGAAATTTCCGATATCACTAGAGAATAGGATAGCATTAGTGGGGTCTCCTGTGCGCTTGTGCAATCATACGATTTTATAGAAATGGACTCATAATGGGGATTAGTTAAAACCGCTTCGTGCGAACAAACACGAACATAAAGCAGTTGCAACTACAGTTGTTACTAAACCGGATTACCGTTACCGTGTAAACTGTATTATATATATTGTACCATTCCCCAGATCGAAAATTACTCGATTTTCAACCTTCCACATACACACAAGGTCAAACTGTTATAATTGGAGCCATTACAACCCTTTCATTATAATTAGAGTTACTTATGCGATTTTCAAGCTTGTGAGTTGCGAATATAAGGCTGAAAATCGCGTGATTTTCCGTCTAGAGAATGATACAACGTACATGATGCCGACTGTGCTTCGTTTCGATCGAATGCGCATTCCTTTGTGCCAGTTCCCATTTGGAAACTTCGTTGGCGAAGTTGGAACCTATTCGCGTCGCCCCGCAAGATAAATGCGAATCGATTCTTCTCGCCATGTCGTACGCAGACCGATGTGCTAGTCTCAACACGTAAAGTTGCATCATTCTAGAGGATTTCCCACGATGCATCGCGAGCTCTAGAGGAGTACAAATTCGTGTGTTAAGGGGATCCTGGAGTGTCATCCTGTTTTATCGCAAATATCTCGGTACTATACTCGTTACTGGCCGCACAGAATTAAAAATCCTTTTGCACAACTATAATATATGCGTTAATGTGGGAAGAAAGTTAAATTATAAAACTTTCTTTCGATTTTCGAGTAAAGTCGACCGTCGTCGCCTATATTAACGTGTGTGCCGTAATCGTGCAGAAAAGACTTTTAGTTTCGTGTAGTTAACAACTCATACAGCACATTTTATCAGAGGGACATCCTGGGAACGTCCTTGGAATGTAAGACGTCCTCTGGACGTCTTTGGAACGTTCCTTGGAGGATTACAGTACTAATAAATTTGCGGTAAAACAGGATGACTGGCAGGATCCTTTTAAGGCTGTTGCGCCGAGCCGGATAGGTCCGACACACATCCGTGAGATTTCAGTTGCGCTCGAACGTCAACCGGCGACTCGACGATGCAGAGTCCATTGAAGGTACGCCGCGCGTAAACACGGCCGGTCGAGTGTAAACGGTAATACTTAGTTAGTAAACAACACTGCCAGTCATACATTTACGAATTTAATCGACGGTATTTGTGAAAAAGAATAGCCTAATCTGAGAGCGTGCTCGCAACATCGTCCGCCCCAGCGCGAACTCCGCGCGCGTCGTTCGATGTTCGCGCGTGACGGGGCGCATTGTTGCGCGGACGCTCCCCGTAATTATACCATTATCGACTGTCATTATAACGATAATATTCGCTATTACTTAACGAGAAAGATACGTAAATATAACACGCTATTACGGGGGGAATCGGCCCTTCCTCGTGAAAGTCGGCGCGATCGTTAATTATTGTTCGAATTCAATCGAATGAAGATCCTCCTTCCCGCACGAGTCTCCCCTCGGAAGAGGGGGGCTGCGAGAGGGGAACGTTTAATTATAACGGATGTACACTGTAAGAGCATGTATGAGAAAAATGTCGAATATTGCTGGTATAGTAAAATATATATACAAGTTAATAAATATGTCCTCGATTTATATATACCGTATCTCTCTCTCGTCGAGAGTAACGCGAGACACGAGTATCTCTGTTGTTGATCTCACTCGTTTGCGACGTGATCAAGACGAACACACACATACACACACGATATGGTTCTCGTTATCTCGTTTCGATTGGACGAATGTAACGTGCATAGATCACGCGATTCGCGGTATTTCACTTGTTGAATTTTACAAGCAACGTGCGCGCGTTAACGCTGGAAACATCAGCGGAACGAAACGCGATAAACAAGAGAGAGAGAGCGTTGATCGCGACGTTGGGAAAGTTTGCAGGGTTGATATAGCGGCAATAACAATTTCCAATAAATCAATTTGACTGATTGCGATTTTTTATAACTTATTTATATCATATTTACATACACAGTTATTTCCTTCCTATATGCACAATGCACGTGTTATGATACAACGAGTATAATTACTTGCAATGGAAACGTGTACGATCTTTCTTTTCGCATATACCATAAGCCTTTCAGGGATCCACCCATTTTCACCGATCTTGTCGAAAATCATGCACTTTGTGCTAACAAATTCAATGAGAATGTCTCTGCACGCACACGTTTTCTCTGATCAAGTTCGGAGAGCAGCCGATGTCCAATGGGAGAATGTTTCTCAGAAACTCTCTCTCTCTCTCTCTCTCTCTCTCTCTCTCTCTCTCTCTCTCTCTCTCCCTCTCTCTCTCACTGGACACCGACTGTGCTCTGGACTTCGTCAGAAACGATGCGTTCACGGGCCGTTTCACAATCGAGTGTACGGATGATTCGATTTTCGTTCTTTTTTCATCATCAAAATCAGTCAATACCAAGTTATTGTTATAAATAATTAGTAACAATTGTCCCCTGCATTTCCACGGGGACAAATTGCGCCATTGCTACTTGTTCTGCTATCATACCGTTTCTTTCTTTTTCGGCTGTATGTCATCGTCATTTACGATCTTCTCAGGAATTTCATGGGAATGGTTTTTTAGAGAGTTATTTGCGACATTTGGACTTTCCGTAACGTTTAACTGCGAAAAATTCGCCATGTTCACGTTGTTTATCTTTAATAAATTCATAATGCCCCAGTTGGTGTATTTGGATTTGTCGGAAGTCTCTAACGTGAAGATGGCATCGTGCGCTTTTTCTGTCAACCGATTCAGCTCGAAGATACTCACATTCTTGCTAACGTTCAGTGTTGTCTCGAGCGGATTGACAATGTGAAGCGCTGAGTGCGACGGTTTCCTGATCGGTACGCCTTCGCGAATGCATATTCCTTTCATGTAAAAATCGAACGTCGAAAAGTATTCGAAGAAACCAAACAGAAGATGCTCCAAATCGTCTTGATTCAATTTGTACTTGTATTCGTTCGGTAATTTCTGGACGTCTCGCAGGAAGGTACAGTCGATGCCGTTCTCTGAATGACGAGCGTCATCGCATGCTACAGGAAAAAAGAAGGGAGATTATTATAAGCTCGTATTGGAGATTTAAATCTTCGCCTCGAACTCGTAATAATCGCGCCAAGAGAGGATTGTAACATTCGTTCGCGCATCTCACTTACTCGCGTATATTCTCAACGCTCTTAACGATGGCAATATATTTTTCTGCTGCAAGTAGAATAATACCAACAACGAGAGAGAGAAATTTGTTATCCAGTGGCCCGGTGACTCGCTCGTTATCTCTTGAATCTTCGCCCATTTACGTATCATAAGAACAAGCGGCCTAACCCGCCAATCTATCTCTCCGTATAGATTCAACAGTTCCGACATGTACACAGCGGACCTACAAGGAAAATATCGAAGTGCGAGTTTCGTTTCAGCAAAGTTACACGATTCGATCTTCTTACATGTTACTAGGAACACACTTAGATCTTCTTACATGTTCGTTGTGCTTAGGTCACACTCAAGTTCGGTGTATTCGAAATTGAATTTGATGATGGGTACTCGAGCCTCAAAGATTCTTCGTACGTTCTCGATTCCAGGGATAAAGTGCTGCATGGTGTTTGCAAGTATTCCCATAAATTCCTTCGCCTCATATCTTTCGTTAAATTTCATGGACTTTGAATGAAATATCAATCTGCTCGTGGGGTTATTCTATAAATAAACAGCAAGATTCGTTGGTTATTGTATAGTGGCAATAGTGAGGAAGTGAACAATTCGAATACCGTGTACTTACTATATTAGCATCGGGGACGAGAACTAAATCAAGGTCGCATCTTTTCCTCCCGAAGCCGTTTATAGACGAACCAAACGGCAGGACCTTCATTCTGCAAAATAATCCGGAGAAATATTCTTCTAAATGATGCGCAGTATGAAATCTCAGTCTTGTTTCTAATTCGCTCAATTTCAATGCATCGTACAGATGCAGTATTTGTCCTGATATCTGTAAAATAAAGATATTAGCTTCACACGATGCCAATTGAAATTTCAATTGTATACAACAAATCAATGACATTACCGATTTTGAATGGTACAATATATTTGAGATTTGCTTCACAGTAGGATATAAATTATTATTTTCTGCGGTTATTATTATATTTTTATTATTGTTGTGTGATTTCTGGCTAAATTGGTTTTTAGAAAACCACAATACTGATGATTTTACTGGGACAATTAAATCAGAATTTGCAAAGGTAGCAGATGATAAAATCTTTTTCACTGTTGCTTCATCGTTAAACTCAACCAGTATATAATTCTGGAAAAAGACGATATACATTATTGTAACACTGCTTGTATACATCAAAAATATTGTTAAACTCAAGATTATCACATAATTGTGGCTAAAATATAAATATAACTGACATACACGTTGTTTATTGCTTCGATAGTGATGCATACTCAGAATCGTTCCGAATTGAATACAATAATTTTGGAGATCGTTGTAAGAATTCACGGAGTACACTTGTACCAATATACTTCGACATGCTTGATCCCTCCTCTTGGCAATTTCGACTTCAAATGCTGTGAGCTTGGTGTTAGCCGACGTCTTTTCACCTGTAAAATACAGTCGGACAAACGTTATATAGGTTATGTTACATAGGTTACGTGAAGAGATCGCAATACGCGAAGGCACGGTTATCGATTCGAAGGATATTGATTGATATTATATACAAAACGATCATTGCAAAGCTCAGAAATTTTCCCGAAGGAGTTTGTACATTGTTGTTTGCAATCTTTGCCGGTTATGTGCTAAAGTTAGGTTAGTCTATATTTACTTTGGCTATTGTTCCTTTCGTGAAATGCACTGGAAAACACCGTGGTGCGCTTGTTCGCTTTGAATTTTACCGTACTAGTTGTGAATTTGCAATAACAACGATTTAACAAAGAGAGCGTATTAAGGTTAGCACGATTAAAGAACGCCATTGTAAAACTTTCGCACAGCCCCGCGTGTTGCGCACACGCACCGACGAGAAAAACCGAGGAGCGCTGACGTTAATTCTCGCGACGCCGCTAGGTAGCGCCAGGTAGTCCGTCAGTCTCGTCGATTCGAACGCGTCCATCTGATTTACTCCGAAGTGTGATTTCAACTTAATATTCTTCAGCACGCGTCCAAACAGCGAGCTAGATGAACTCGCCTCACGTCCGCCAGACGAGGAACCAGAGTTCTCCCGAGTCCTGCCGCATCCCGATCGCGAAAATTGAGGCTCGAACTGCGAGAGAAATGTCTATTTCGAGGCGTTCCGAGTCTCGCGTCAAGGTAAGGGAAGGGTATTTCTGCACCCCAAAAGGACCATCGCGACGATGATGGCGCGGCCAATTCAGACGATGACGTAAACTCGCTCCGTCTTCCTCCTTCTCTCCTCCATCGGCGCCTCGACGCGTTCCACCGTCCTCCCACTTCATTCCCGCAGCATCTTTTCGCGTGACCGTAGCTGCGTGACGCCTGTTAATCGAACGGGAAAGAGAGGGACGCGCGACCTTCTCCCCTCTATCTCTCTCTCTCTCACGCGCGCGCACCGCCATCGTGTTTTATCTTCGTCGCGTCACGACCTCGTCTCCGTCTTTCGCGCGTCTCTCGCATCGGCCGTGAGCGGCCGCCCTCTCTCGCTCTATCTTCTCCGCCGTTTTTTTCTCGCTCACGCAGCCTTTTCGCTGTCTCCTTTCACCTCGTTCCCTTCGTCTCTCTCTTTATCTCCCTATGAAAAGCGGCTCTTGTGCAGAACTCCCTCTTGTTCCGTCGCCTATCGCACCCACCCGCCTGCGAACACCTTCATCGCACTGTCTCTCTTTCCTATCGAGATTTAAACCCGAGTTTAAATCACTGCTCTCTCTCTCTCCCTCCCTCCCTCCCTCTCTCCTTCCCTCTTTCTCACTCTCTTTCGCCCTCCCGCATCCTACGTAGTCGGCCGTGCTTTCTCCTTCCAACCGGCGACGCGCGCGACATCTCCTTCGCGCGCCCGGAGGAATCGTACGCCTCCGACCAATACGATCGCGCCGCTCTCCCCACCATTTTGCGCGCGCAGCCCATGAGGAAGCACGAAGTGTGGCGAACTTCAGTCTCGAGCCTCGCGTAGATCGTAACGGACTCGGCCGCCGCGACGCGCCGTCCTTTCACGCTCGATTAGGCTCCATGGAGAACCGCGGGCCCGACAGCAGGTGCAGTGCAGTGTTCGAGTAAGAGCGTGGAGCAGGAAAAGCGGAGAACCACCAGCCTCGACGACGAGCGAGGGCCGCAGGAAAGGGCGCGAAAGGCGTGCGCGCGCGAACATCCACGGGACAGAAGGTGCTCCAACAACACGGTATAGCAACACTCACACACACAAGCGCTTATTTATCCAACGCGCCTCATCCACGCGAGACAGCCGTCCGTGCTCCGTTCGCGAGATCCTCGCGACTGAGACTAACGAATCGACAATCCCCCGAACGACGCTCCGACGAAAATCGCCATTATCGTCGGACGCGCGAAAAGCGTTGCCGTTCGAAAAAGACGCAACGCTCGAAACGCGCGTGCGCGCGGAGCCGCGCGCATCAGATTCAGCTGATTGACACCGTACGGTATAGAATCCTGCAGAAATGACAGATCCGTCGTCGCGATGAATTCTCTGCGGCAGGTGAATTTATTCGAAATTATGCGTTGAGCGCGTGCACGATCGCTGAATCTCGTCGCTCTTCATCGGCATTGCAGGCTCGTCCGAGCTCCCGAAATTGTCAGGAAAGAGAAAGAGAGAGAGAAAGAGAGAGAAAGGGAGAGGGACATAGCGGAAGGATAGCTCCCAAAGTTTTGGGATGTCGACGTACAGGAGATGGACTTTGTGGCCGGTGAGGACGCGTTTTCGACACTTCGCAAAGACGCCGACGATCTATCGCAGCTGAGATCGCCGATGATCGAACGGGCCGATCGATCGTGTTGATCGTGGAACTTCCTTCGGGTGAATTGTGCGCTCCGACAGCACTTCGACATTTCAGCTCCACGAGTGAGTTCGCTTGGTTGGCGAACGAGTCTGCTGGCGACAGAGCCACACGGGGGGAAGAGTCTCTCGCTGCGTTTTCGGTGTCGTAACCGACTCCGCGAGTAACCTGGAATTATCCTCGAGACTTCGGCAAAGGAGCAGCAGGTGAGAATCCATTTACCGTGATTACTATTGTCATTCCCCGGAAGCACGCGGGAATATATTTCCTGCATTTAGAATGCCGGGAGATGATATCGCGCGAGCGAATCGGAATATCTTTCAATCGCGCATCATGACGCTTCTCGGAAGTTATAGGCCACGGGGAATGATAATGTTATGATAATGCTGTGAGAAATCACGGAGATGAGCTCGGCAATACAAACGTTCGCGCAATTATCTCGCACGCTCGTCCGATTTGCATTCACGCGATGAACATTTCGCAACGACGCGAGAATTCTATACATAGATGCACTCAGGGATTATTAATTGATTGTTTATTCGCGCCAAGTACTCGTCCCCTACGATTATATTTCAACAATTGCATTTGGTAATAATTAATTGTTAGTAATTAATTATCGCTAATTTAATTATCAAAACAAAGACATTGTTCGCGGATAAGCGAGAATTCGAAACAAGAAACGCGTGACTAACAGCCGGACGGATAATGTCAACTTAGGAGATTAATAATGACGTTATGCAACGGAAAAGAGCCCAAGGCTTCTCTCCGTTAGGCTCATCGCCGCATCGCCGGCGTTGTGGGCGATTCTTAACCAAATATGCCGCTACCAAGGTCCGAATCGCTCATACGGGGCCTCGTGTGGGTGAGAATGACATTTCGATATCGGCTATTACGAAAATGGAAAGCGATTCTGGAGCGAGGTTTAAAGAGCATATCTATGCGCATTCACATGACAAAGTGATAGCTGCGAATGGCGAATTAGACCTTACGCCTTTCACAAAGTATAGCCGGGATAGTTTATCGCGTCAATTTTTCAGTTTAGCGATTATCATAATTTTCGATGCGATTAGACACGTGCAAACGTGCAGATACGTCTAGAATACGAGGCGTCACAGCCTTTTCGTGCTGCGCGCTTCCATATGTGGGCGTTGAAATCATCGGAGATTTCAACGCCCGCATATAGAAGCGTGCTAAGCCAGAAGAGTGTCGGAGATTGCTTCGGCGGACAACCGCATCGTTTTACCTTGCTCTTGAATTTTTCCGATTCGACATGGCTCGCCGCACACGAGCCGAAACCCTAAATTACCTGCGCGACAGGTATTTTCACCGACAAAATAATTGCACACCTTGTTTAAAACATCCGACGTTGTCTGTGTACAATTAGTACAAATAATTTGCATAGAGGCTATTTGTAAAGAACTCTTTATGCTGACGTTGCGCCAAAGAAGGGAAATTGAAATAGGAATGAAAATAGACGATATTTTATTTATTTCGATAATAAAATATTTTTCTCAATAACAATGACAAAATATTATACGATAAATCATAAATATCCTTGTTTATAATTGTGTACGTACATAAAGAAAAAGGTTTGTTTGGATTTAGTATAAGTGTTATTTGATGGTTTGTTCGTTTAATATAAATAATATAATTTAATATTGAATATCATTTTGCCCGAATGAAAATGTTGTTTCACTGTAGAGTGAATTAAATATGTTCAATAGAAAAAAACAATTATTAAAAAACAAATATTATTTAGAGAAAATAGATAAATAATATTTAGTTGCGAATAAAAAGAAATTAATTTTATTATGTATTAAATATTGTTCCACTGAAAAACAAAAAAGTTTTTTTAATAGTTTTCTAACACAACGTTACTTTTCTCAGATAATTTATTTTTGACAACCATTACATTTTCATTAAATCCGAAGAAATCCTCTTCTTTGTGTTGAGAGGGACACATTCTTAACCGCCGGTATCCGCGCGAATTTGACGCGCGTACCCGCGACCTACCGCGAAGAGGAAGGTGGAAGTCGCCGCCAAGACCTAGGCGGAGACCCCAACGATCTCGTGAATAACGATGGATAAGATCGCGGTAGATCGGCACGGCGCCAGTCGTGCGTCGAAAAGGGTGCGGGTGCCGCGAAAATGGCCGCAACGCTGCGTTCGCAACCGCGTCCACCGCAAATGTCTACCATGTGGTGACGATGGTGGTGGTGGTGGTGGGCCTGGTGGTGGTCGAGGTCGATCGCGTACCAACGCCGTCGCCGCCGCCTATATCGCGATGCTCTAAAAAGTGAACGTTGCATCGTGCACCGCCGCCACCGCCTTTGCGAATCAGCGTGTCGCTTTCTCGGCTGCGAGCCAGCACCCGAACGCGAACGGGCCCTGGCTACTAACCCACCTGAAAACGTCCACCGTCTGCCGCCTCCGACGAGGTCGGCCTTAACCCTCGCCCCACGATGACGTCATGGCTCGAGGAAGCATCGCGATTGTCGGTTTTCTTTTCTTCCGCACGTCGGATTCCGATTCGCAGAATCGAACCCCGGGAGCGAATTACCGAGCCTTCTTCTTCGTGTTCCGTACTGATTTATGTGAGGCGGGACGAGAGGGTTGGGACGCTCCTTTGCGAGTCTGATAGGATGAACGATTACGAGTGCGAGGGGGCATGGTCGTGGAACAAAACTGAAAACGAGTACAAGGTCGGTTGGTAGCGGGAAAGAGAGAGAGAGAGAGAGAGAGACGGGGTGATAGGGAAAGAATACTTCGGAATCTCGCGGAATGGGACTGGACGCGTATGGCCTCGTTCTGAATTGATCCCGATCGGAATTGTTTAATTATCACCTATAAAATGTATGAGAAAATCTAGAGAATAACTGAATAATTCCGATCGTAATCGATTCCGAACGGTTCCGTAATACGTTCCGTAATAATCCCTTCCATAACAGGTTCGATCGCCGTGCCCAAGGTGCGTTTCTTTCGAAAGAATTCTCCCCGGGACTTGTGTAATATCGACGCGCGAAATAATAGGTGTCGGACGTGCGAGTGCGAGCGAGGAGCGGCGAATTTTCGAATCTGCCGCCTCTCGCACGGCGAACGATGTTTGCGCGGACGATCATATTCATGGTAATTCGACCCAGTTATTAATAAGACTTTCTCTTTTATTTTAGCCATGGACTGGAGGGTGGTAGCGTTGGCATTTCTGGTGGTGAGTACACGAGAGAAAAATATTTCTTTCTTTTTTCTCGCCCGCGTTTCGCTACGCACGAACGTGAGTTTCGCCTCGAACGAACGCAACTCGGTTCACCGTTTTCCTCCAATCCCGTTCGGACGTTCCCGATTGTTTTGTTTTGCTTTTTGCCGGGATTTCTTTGCGTTTCTTACGAAACTCTCGGGGTAAACGGATAAAATGTAAGCCGAGCGTTCGCTTCTTCGAAACAACCGCGTGCTTGAAGGAACATCGTGAATGAATGTGATTACCTTCACGCGTATTCCTCTCTTACAAAATATATTACATTCCGCTCGCGTGATGGATGATGTACGATTTACCTTACAGATAAAATCGTTCCAAATTCATTTGCGTTACGCGACTCGCGTAAGTAATTAGTGCAGCCAACAACGTAACAACGATTGCATTTTGTGAGGAGGAAGCGCGCGCGAACAAATACGTCTGCATTCGGCGGCAACTCGCTAAGGGGAAGGAAAAATGGTTCATCTCGCTAAAATTACAGCCGGCACCGGTGCCGGCCATATTTCTTATCGTTCCAACAAGAAAGTAGTAATGGCGATATAGCGTTTAAGTTTATTATCTCGGACATATAGTTACCTGCTACAGTTAACGTGACTATAGCAGCGGTTACTACAAAGAAGAAGAAGAAAAAAAAATGCTTTTCCCGACCACAATTATTCCACCGTGTAATCATAGTCGCAGATGCCAAACACTTTCTTCTCGGTGCCGATGGTCGGAGGAATCCGGACGATTATCCTCGCACCCGGCTCGATATCTCGCGACTGAAGGACGGACGGGTAATTATTATCCGGGAATACGCGATTCGCGCTATATCGTTTCGCGGATAAACGCGGATCGGCGTGTCCGCCGCCGTCGCAGCAACGCGTACGCACACTTTCTCTCTCGTGCGTGCTGCGTCGCACGCTCGTGTCGGTTCGGCGGTATGTGATGGATTACGTAAGCCTTTGTTGGCACAAGCACATCGTGCGCGACGGCGTTGGTGAGTGCTAAAGCATGTCGTCAAACAGCTGCCGCCTCCGATATTCAAATTAACGCTCGTCGGTGAAAATTTGACAAACGATTTGCTCGCCGAGAAAGCAGCTCGGCGACTTTCGAATGATTTTCAGACCCAGGCGTAGGCGAAATACGGCCGGTGAACCAAGTTTCTTCTCTAATTCGCGGCGTGCCGTCGCCTGGCACTTGTTTCCCCTCGTTCTTAAATCGTCCATGAATCATACACACACGTTGACCGATATTCGAGTCACCAAGACCTCTCGGATCTTGGATACCGCTCTCTCGCGGAAAGTTCGCTCTGGTGACAGCGGAAAAAGTAGCGAATGTATGAAAGCGTAGAAAATACCCGGGATGGGGAAAGGAAATGAAATATATACGCGCACTTTTGCCGTCCAGCGGATTAATCGCGCGAATTAATCGAACAAGTCGATCCCGCGAAGAGATCGCTGTCGGAGCGCGATTTCTAAGCTTATTAACATGTTATTGATCGCTTTGCCTGCCATCATTGGTTGCATAAATTATCATCGTCTGTATTTGACTGATCATTGAATTATGGAAGATACGATTAATTTGAAATATACATGTTTTTTTACGTTTCTTTAGCTCTCTGTTGACCGTGTAACGAAATTTTTAGACGTGACCAATTATTTGTAATCAATTTGGTATGAAAAGTCTTGTCGAGGACGGGCGTGTTTTGTTTTGCTCCTTTGCTATCGGCAAGATGTTATAATGAAAAGTTGCCGAGCCTTTCTTGCAAGCCGTTTGAATTATATCATTTCTTAAATTGGAATTTTTCTCACGGTGGCTAAATTACGCAGCGGTTGATCGACTCGTTGCTAAAGTTGCTAAACCTGTGTTACATGCGAAATGGTATCTCATTCAATGTGTCTTAACCGGACACCCGCATTTCAAAAGTTTTAAGATGCCTTTTCGTACTGACGCTCGACACTGATTTCAGCCTCTCATGAATTTGCGCTTTTAAAGTTTTTGGATCGTCTGAATATTTCTGCTTCATTTGCTAGACAAAAAATCGATGAAAACTCGCTAACATAAGGGACTCAATACGCTCCGAATTTGATAATATAATTATAATAATAATTATTATTATCAATGTAATTAATATATAATTGAAAATCAATATAATTTATACATAACTTCACAAGACGCGGTAATATATGATAGCACCAGTCACCGGCGACCACCGCGGCATTCAACCGTGCAAATTGCCATCGATCGATCGATTATTAAATTTGTCACACGCGACGTGTGATCTGCCAGGTGGGAGTCGTGTCATCTCTCACGACGACGACATTGAGCCGACGTAAACAACGAGCGCGGTAATTCAGCTTATTTAAATACCGACGGTGCGCGCTGTCCGCTTCGTTCGTTGTTCCGCGGCGGTTTCGGAGGACGTTATGTCACCCGTCCGTCCGACAATAGTCGTGGGATCGTTCTCGTGATGGAAGTTGACGGATTTAATGTCGTTAGCCCATTCAAGAGGCGGCAATCCCGACCGGTTACGTAACACATAATAATCGACAATTACGCTAAACTTGGCGTTTACGCGGCTCAGAGCTCTTAAGACGGGACATTTGAGGCCCGCTGACGGATGACGTAAAGAGTAACCGAGCGCCTCCGCGCTCGTGTCGTGAAATGTTGTTCATCGTTAGCACGCACACTTTCTCACGTATTAACGTGTTCTTTCATTTCACCAATGTTCCGCGAAGTCGACTCTGATCCTCCTTTTTTTTTTATAAATAAAATTTGGACTCTCTTGACTAACAATCGGTAATACATAAAAGTGCTAATTAGAATCCGTTCACGACCTGTGCAGTAAGAAAAATTTTGCGTTAAAAGCGGCCCACTGAAACTTCGTGTTACTGTAATACGAAGAATGCGTGAAAAAGTGCACAGATACATGTTAAAGTAACATAAAATTTCAACAGGTCGTTTTAATACGAAATTTTTTGTGCTCTCTTGTTTAATTTTTTTATCCCCTTTTTTTCCTGTTATTTTTATCGGTCATCGGGAGAAAGAAGCGTGTACGGCGTTTTGTCGGAGCACCTCGCGTATATAGGAACGAAAGACAATCCGTTCGGAACCGCCACGCCCACTTTTACCTGGCGTTCTTTTAAATATCGGCGCGGGATCTTAGAGAGCTACGGAGCTCGCTGGCACGTTTCCATTCCGACATTTCACCGCACGGTCGATACAGAACCGTCGATAGCCGGAAGAATAGCGCTCGAACGTGCACTTGGCAGGGCGATATTACGCGTTCGCTCGTTCCTTTGTTACTTACGGGAAAACGGTAACAACGGCTGCCCGATAGCCGGATCCCGCGTGTAAGGCGACTTGCGATTTTGAACACGTATCAAGTTCCGTGCGCGAAACTGGTTCCCCGTCGAAGGGAAAGGATCGCGAATATTACTGAGCGCCTTTCAGAGACCTCCTGTATAGTTCCTCGTACACGCTGGCCAACAGCTGTTTGCCGAAAAAAAACGAATCCTTCGAACGGTGTCCTCGCAGATAGCTGACTCTCACTTCCTAGGCGTACAGTGGAAAACGCGAAGGCGATATCGCTCCCGGCGGACGACACGTGTGGGTCGGAAAGATCAATAGAAACGTGCGCGGACGAGGAAAGGAGAAAGCAAAAAATACATCCTGTCTTCAGAGGCGCTATGTACAAACGTCAAGACGGCTCTCGACGTGATGAGTTTTGCCTCGCTAACTCATTGGTTCATCCAGCGGGTCCAAATCAAGATTCACCGGGGCGAATTATCGTGTCGTCGGATGAGGAATTCGCGAGATCGCGCGATTAATGCAATCGGCCGATGCGGATATTGAAAATTGGTGGTAAATATTAAAATTCGGCGAATATTTGTCGACTAAATATTTGATATTGCAACCGAATAATTTAGTTCCGTGTACAAAATATACAACATACGGAAATACAGTACTGTATGCAAATATATGGAACCAAATTATTTGATTACAGTGATCGAATATTTGGTAGGCAAATATTCATCATATTTTAATATTCATTACGAAATCCTTTTTTCAATGTAGGATTCGCACACGGAGGGAAATATTTTGATAGCATAGTAAATTTGTCAGTTACTATGATGCCGGCGAAAAGATCTGTTTGAATGAACGATTTTTTTTCCTTATAAAAATATCTTTATGCTGTCACTGTAAGTGACAAATTCGCCGTGCCAGCAAAATATTATCCTCCGCGCGTAGGCGTCCGCTCAGCGTCCGGAAGCCGACGGATTCGCGCGACGGCCGCTCTTCGCCCACACGACGCGGCGGAATTCCAGGAAAAGACCGGCGGGAGCCGCGGCTGAAGTTGGACATCGTCGGGCACGATCGTTCGCTGATACTCGGGCGTCGTCCCGTCCGACGTAATCGCGGGCGGGTAAGTCTCGCTCGCGGCGTCAGATCGCTACGTCATCGGAGCACGCGCCGCGTGCAATCGCGTACAAGAGAGTGACTAACGTGCGTCAGTACGAGAGAGGCTTGATGTGTCCGCAATGGCGACGAAGTAGTGAGCGAGCGAATAAACGGTCGGCGATTCCAAGGAGATCCCGGCCCACGCGTTAGATCCGCGATCACAGCGTTAGATCATCGATCGCCTATCGATGGTCGTCCCAATTACCCATTGAACTACTTGACGTCCGCGAGGTCGTCGCCGAAGATCGCGGGCTGCCACGCAACGTTACGATGTCAACGTTGATTGTCCAATCAAAGTGTCACTTCTTTGTCAACGAAAAACAATCTCCACGTCGATCGAGCGATCGATCTCTCCGTTTCGCAATTGATTATTAACTCTAGAATGAATACACGCTTGAATACTTGCTCATAAGCGGAGACATAGTTAACTGAGACAATCCATGCGTTCAATGAGAGATGCTAATATTGCGTTAAAAGAAAAAAAGTGCTACATTTAAGTGAATATTTGCTGAGGCTCCTATCAGACTACGCATCAGAGATTGAGATTGAATTGAAATACGGCTAATCGCAAAGTTGACTACAATTAATTCCAATGCGTAGTCTGATAGAGGCCTGAGAAATATTGGAGCAATTATTTTACTTGAGTTATATAGACGTTACTTGAACGTGGCACATGGAAAGAAAAAAAATGCGTTCAAGCAATTCACTTAATCCAAGTAAATAATTACGCCAATATACTCCTTAATAAATATTTACTTGAATATAGCATCTTTTTCTTCCTTTGTGAGTGTAGCATAATAAAATTTCAGCACGCGAGAGAATTCGATTTCCAATTCGAAATTAGACTTTTCATTTTTAATCGAATTTCAATTTAAGTTTCTTGCGGAGTGTCCGGGCTCAATCAACATCGTCGTCAGAGCGTCGAGGATAATATCGCGCGAGTCCTCTTCGAATTTACGACAGTTCTACGGTAAGGAAGAACGCGTACGAGGCGAGGGGGAAGCGCGTATCGCGGATGGAGCGAAGCGTTGTGGAAGGTCAGTCCTCAATGGATTCCATCGGATGGTACGCCGCGGACCTTATAAGGTCCGGTCTGCCGCTCTCCGTTGCGCTGCACTTTATCGAGGCATCTCTCCTCCGGTTTGTTTCGCGCTCGAATCACGCGTCTCCTCGATCCAATTATATCCACACGATGCCTCGGAGGGGCTCGTATCGATCGAGGCGACAGTTATCTCGCCGTGTGACATCGCGTTAAATTAGCGACACGGTATGCGCCGCTTGCTAAAATTCTCTCAGTCGCCGAGAAACACGTGATTCCCGTGTTAATACTTCACTTCGGCGAGTTATTATTAAATATGGTCGCGAATATTCTCCGTTGATCACGCTTGGGTAAGATAAGAGGAAGAGGGCAAGAGAGAGAGAGAAAGAGAGAGAACGACAGGAGGGAGAGTGATGCAGGAGCTACGTCGTTCCCTGTGTACACACTCGAATGATCAGTGACTCGTTAGACCACTTTCATTGCACCGACGAACACGCGCCGGCCATGCTGACGTCAGTGTCTGCCACAGAGACTCCTGTCGTGAAACTCTCCTATTCGCGCCTTCGTGGGAGATCATTGAAACGACCGCTCGGCGGCGATCACGCACAAGACGGAAAATGGTTTTTCGCACAGTTACGCGAGCGATTTCATTTCCCGCGCGAAAGAAACGCGAGAGGATCTCCGTCTGCAAGAAGAGCCTCCGAGGTCGTTTAGAAATCGACGGTTTTTCTCACGGATTCACTCATTCACCTGTGGTCGGTACGTGGAATCGAAAAAAAAATCTGGTAAACAAATATATACTTGTTTATATATATATATACTTGTTTTTTCTACCAGGATTTTTTTTATTATTATGAAAAAAAATATATTTTGGAAAAAAAATTGCTACGTTCAAGTAAATATTTGCTAAGGAATACTGAAGTTTATTTTATTCGGATTAAATAAATATTACTTGAATGTAGCACACTGAAAGGAAAAAAGTACATTTAAGTAATATTACATGCCAAGAAGAGACTTGGTTTGCAATTTTTTGTTTAATTACACGCATCTATCCACACTTTCCCAGTAAATGTCAACTAACAGCAACATAACAACAATGTTACAATTTCTCATTCAACAATGTAACTGTTACATACAACGCATGTTAAATTGCGCTTACATTGTTGCGTGAGAAATTATAATTACGCGTAATATTACTGTTAGTTGGCGTTTACCGGGTTATAACTACTTGGGTTATAACTACACGACTAGGTAAAATCTAATACATAAATATCACCGCGCGAACAATGCTTCTCTCATTATTCCTATCTTATCCATCGCAGCTTTTTATATCTAATTGCTTACCGTTGCTTACTCTTATTTATTTCCTACTTGATTCTTGCGCTAAACTTCCCCAAGCAATTTACTACCTCTCCTTACATTCCTTTGCTCTCAATCTTATTTCCCCCTCCTATATCACTAGCTTTTCCCTTCAACGATATGGAAAAATAAGAACGATCGCGCCTGTTGTATTCTCGAGTTGTTCCGATCGATCTCTTTTTATAGCGTATTTCGAAAGAATCGCGAGATACGTGATCGTCCTTGCCTCACATTCGAGCTTGTTAGTCACCGCCGCGTTTCCCCTTACCTACGCGAGATCCGTGTGCGCAGATCAATTTCCACGAGGCGCACTCGATCTCTGCTCGGTTAATACCGGCGATAAGGGCGATTTAAGCGCAGCTCGTGTACACGCTAATTCGCGATTCGCGCTTGCTCGCCGATTAAATCGTCGTCCGAGATAATCCGTGTCTCCTGCATACATCATCGTCGTGATCGCGCACTTATATACGTATGTTAGGCGAAATTAACAGCGATCCGTCGCGACACATACCGGCGGTGATGAGCCTCGAATTGGATGGATGGAAGGCAATTACCGGTACCCGTGTATCTCGTCACTGTTAATCTAAAAATGGAGTCGCGTTGTGTTACGTGTTCCGCTGGATGGCATAATTAAGGGCGATTTTACTCAAGGGGAGGGAAGGTAACGTTAATGCGCTGCACGTCTTTTCCATTATCGGAACCGACTGCGCGCCAGCTCGCTCGCTCTCTTTCCTCACGTACAAAGACTCGTCCGTCGTCGGTAGCTCTCTCATTTACAACCTTGCAGGACGGCCGGCGGGCTTTCAGGTTTCACTTAAAAGATCAATCATCGTTTCCATTACTTCATTTCCTCTGCGCGCTGAAGTGGTGACGAAATCGCGCGCGGGTTTCGATGATTTTCGACGATTACCGGCGACCTTGGCGCAACAATTTTTTACTTTCCCGCTGTTACCGCTCGTCCACTGTGCGTCATCCCGGCTCGAGATTTTTTAGTCCCGCTTTAAGTCTAATTTAGTTCTACATTAAGTCTTCCAGGGTCTTCTGTTCTGTGCTCAATTGATGCTGCAAACTTACTTCCGTTTGTTTCCTCTTGAAGACTTAACGTATACGTTAATTCTATAGAATTAAAAATCTCGACTCGGAACGTCCGACATTCCTCGATCGCCGGCAGCGGCTCGAAAAAGAATGCCCTCTCCCTCTCGAATCCTTAAAAATAACAATGATGTGTGTCTGGATCGATTCGACGCGGAGTAAAAACGGCGTGATTCATACATCCTGGAAAGCGCGAGCATGCTGCGAGAGGCGAAGAGATAGAGAGAGAGAGAGAGAAACACAAAGAGAGACGATCGAGAGTCTAGCCGAGCTTGACATTTTCGCGGAACTTTCATATCGCGCACTTTAATTGAACGACGGCGATCGATCATCGGTCCCACGTCGATGGATTAATACCTGGATGCGACGACGCGGTGCAACGCGGTGAACGCGATCATCCGTCGCACGTGCGATGCGTGGGAGAAATACTGGGTATCTTAGAAATTGCACCACCGGCTCTAACTCGATTGCCGATAATTAAGCCGCGATGTGACGGTCGACAACTCGCCGAGCTCTCGGGTGTGGATTGCCGGGTGTTAAGGTGACCGAGTACACCGGGAAATTGTTTAGAAAGTTCCCTCGGACGGGTCAGGCCGGCGTCGGGAGATAAGATTAATCACGCTGACCGCTAACACATCATTGCGAATACACGCTGCTTATTGATCGTAATTACGTGCGAATTACTTCGATGCATGCGGCCGCCTCGGGGCGTTTCACAGTTCCCGCGCGAGTCCGCTTCTTTTTTCCCTCCCTCCCCTCTTTTTCGCTTTTGCTTTTATCCCTTACGAGGCGGCGTCTCGCGCGCGCGTATTTCATCATTGACTTCGCCGCGAGAGTGCCGATGATATCACGCTGCCAATTGTGGTAACTTGCTCCGTCACCGGGAATAATCCCCCGATAAATACGGAGCGCCTCCGGGGAGGGAGAGAGAGAGAGAGAGAGCAGTAAAAGTGACGGGCGACACTCTCTTTTTCCACGCCTCGGTTTACCTAACGACTTATTCGCGGGAACTTTATGTAATCTCTCTTCCAGAGCGCGATCCGCGTTTTCCCGTTTTATTAATTCCCTTTCCGCGTCTCGTCCATTATGCGCGTTTTCCCCAGGCTGCGAATATCCAATGCAAGCTCGGACGGCTTGTCTCCTCGCGGGAGGAAAGTTCCACGTATTCTTTATTCAAGTATAAAGTATCGAGAAGTTTCGCGCATGCGTACGTTGTAACGTTGTGACGTGCGCGTGTGTAGTTATTACAATATCGTGTGTACGTCTCTCTCTCTCTCTCTCTCTGGTGCTATTCATTTGCGCCTCTCCCGTTCAGATACGCGCTCACCGCACACACACAGCGCGTACGACGTCGTCAACGATAGCGTAGCCAAGTTGCCGCTAACAATCGTATCTTATTAAGCGAGAAGATCTAAAACATGCCTTTCCCCTCTTTCCAGATCACAATAACGAGGCACAGCAGCAGCAGCACACACGCAGCCCAGATACCTCAGCAGCCGTCGACGTGTGAGTACACAATACGCGAGACTTACTTTCTAATCGTCCGCGAGAGGGTGATAACTAATTAGAGCGAATCAATTAGGCGTTAAGATCCCCCTTCGCGTAGAACCGAGGAAAATTCGCGACGCTTCTCTTTCCCGCGTCTGTTTTTCCTTTTTTTCCCCTTTTCTCCCTCTCGAGTAGCGATGTAAACCTCTTCGTCGTCGTGAGGAAGATTTTCTTCCGTGGAAAAATCTCGCGCGCGCGCGACTCGAGAGGCCAAAGTGGCCGGATAATCAGATAAAAGTGGACACTTTCGACATGATGCGCACTTTCTAATGACGGCACAATGACGCCTGATGACAATGATGCGATATAATGATCCGAGAGGGTGCTTGAGGTAACGAAGTATAACAGTTCGCTGGTAAGAGTAATTACTGGAAAGTAATCGCCCTCTCGTGTACGTGCTTTCTCAAACTTATCATCCGATGGAGGGACTTAATTAGAGTTGTCCGGGCTAATTGCTCGCGCGGACCACTCGCGCGTTTTGATCACCTACGCGAACTGCGTACTGCGCGAACTCGACAGTGGACGAAACTTCGAGAGATCATCGATTTTTTCTCGGACTCGATGTTCAACATATATGAGTGTTAAAATAACACATTTTATACTTCATTATTAGTAACATATTAATTTAATAATTTTTTAATAATTAATTTAATAATTTTATACTAATTTTTTACATAATATTTGTGTTACCTTTCAATATATTCACTTTGCCGTAAATTAAATTAACACTATATTTGGGTGTATCGTTTCGGACAAATGTGTTAAATTTGTGTTAAATTTGACGCCAAATTTTTTACCGTGCGTGCACGGAAAATTTATTCACGCGCTTTTCACGGGTCGCGTATCGATAGTTGATAAATGAGTTGGATCGTTTTTTATTATACGATCCGCGGCGTCGGTCGCGAATTTTTGCTCCCGCTTGTCGAGATCAGGCGGGAGCGATTAATCGAGCCGGACGGATAATTGAACGAAAGGGAAAAGCGTCGTGTACTCTCGGGCACGGAAGAGAGCCTTTCCAGACGAGCGACGACCTTCCTTGGAAGACATTGCTTTTGCTGGAAGGTGAACGCAGCCGTGCGACCTAGATTCTCATGTGGAAAGGAGCGAGCCGCGATCGCACGGGCAGAACAGAGAGGGCGAGACCAGATGTAAACGGCATGAAACGAGATGACGATTATAACCGGGACGGCGTGCGAGCGTGCATGGCGCGGCGATGTCCTCCTCGACGGCATCGACGGCGAATCGAAAGTCCCTGTAACCGGCGGCGGCGGACACTTTCAGCCTTTTACCTCGCACGCAGTCGCGGACCGCTAGAATTTCACCCGTCGAATCGAGCGAGGAAATACGGCACGTTTCATACACGATGTGCACAAACACACACACACTCACGAGAAAAGTCGCTTTTACCCGCGACGAAATTTTCTTTCCTCGCGAGCTTCCTCGCGGATCTCGGGATGCTAGTCGGATGATTCTTTTTTTTTCTTTTTTCGAAGGGAATCTGAGAGAGAGAGAAAGCCGATCCCGTCTTCGTGAAACCTGTTCGAAAGGGAGAAGGGAAAAAATCGATAAGACACACTTGTGATCGCGAGCGAGACGAATTTTATATCTCGGGTTTTTATTAGCTTATTTGATGGAGAGGTGTTTGAGTTGAACGGACTCGTAATTCCAGACGGCGATACCCGTAACGGAGGCCTGAACGTAACGAGGTGACGATTAATGAGCGAGACGAACACACGATTTTCCTCTCGACAGTGACGAATCGAAAGTCTCCGTTAAAGTCCGCGGGCGCTTTTGCTTTTTGTCGTTTGTTCCGCCGCGGTATCGTCTGGCCGCCGTCTTCCTCGTTGTCCGACGGAGGAAAATGAAATTGTTCCGTTCTGCCCTGATAAAAAGAAACCGAGCACGTACCCACCTTTCCGCGTGATACGTGAGATTGATTCGCTTATAACTGTGTCTCTATTACCGCATACGTGTTTAGCCTGCAGCAGTTCTCAACTCGCTCGTGTAATCCCGATGGCGTGTTTTGCATCGTTTGTGCCGGCGCCCCTTTTTCCAGCCCTTCTCGAAGGCAAAGGCATTATATTTAAAAAGTGTAAAAATCAACAATATCCGCTTCTTCAGCGTGAATTCTTAAAAATCGAACGTTTCCACGTGCCCTTATATTAAACAATTTTCACTTTTCTCGAATTCGTTAAAGGAAAAAATTTATAATCGACTATCTCATACCGTCTTAGTTTCCACTTCGGTTTTACACGGAAATTTTCTCTCTTTCTTTATGCAAAAACTCGAATTTTTCTACCATTACGTCGCAATGAACGATCATCGTCGGACGGTTTCGAGGTACTGTTTAATATACCGCGAACGGCGTTGTTTCTTCACTCTCGAGGAGAAACGGCGCCTTCGACGAAAGTATTTTTTTTCGCCTTTACCTCCGCACGTTATTATTCGTACACGCAATTCCATTTCCATATATGCGCCGATTGGCCGCGCCTATTAGCGAGTTTAATATTTAGTATCGTTCCTCTCCCCCTCTCTGTCTCTTCTCACCAAACGTCGCTGTGAAAAAAATGCCAGTGTTGAAGAGTAAATTATATTTCTCATCTTTTCACGCACACAGTCGTGCATGCCGACCGTCCGGTGCGCTTTGAAAACGGCCTCGGTGAAAACATAATTTTCCGCTAGAAAAAATTCCGACGTTAATTGGGCGAGCTCGTATTCGAGAGTGTCCTAAAATCACGAGGTAGAAACTACGACGCGGAAAGCGAAAGAAGGGGATCGCTCGAATAATGGTTTCCAATGTCGGCGGTGCGAGTGAATCTCTTGAACCGGAGGTAGCGCGTTCGGTGGAAGTGCTGGCGTAAAACCTGATACTCGCTTAATTCCTGAGAAAACGTCAGATCGACACAATGGTGTAGGGGCCACGCGAGGACCGCGGACGCGCGACGTCTCGTAAAAAAATCCGGGCCGTGCGAATCGGATTGTCCGCATTTAACTACCGCAGTTGGCGTATTTGAATACTTCTTCGTCTTTCTCTCTCGGCCTAGCTCTCGGCCTAGCTCTCGGCCTAGCTCGAGGAATTTTTCACACTGCCTTCGCCGCTCGTGTCGAATGATAAGTGTCGTTGACACTCGTTAACGAGCGTCTATTCACTTACAGTTCTCTCTCTCTCTCTCTCTCTCTAACAACTGCAATTATAATACCTATGATTCTACAATCTTCCATATTTGTACAATTCTACTATATTTATTTATTTATATATTCTAATATATAATATCATCAACAATTTTATTAAGTTTGTCATCAAGTTTTTATTATCAACAACTTTTTACGTACGCGGGAAAAAATTAGTCTTAAATGAAGAATAGATATTTTCATATATAAGCAAGAATATCATAATCTTCTTAAGGGACATTTAATCTTGATTTGATTGAATTTATATTGATTCAAGTATTACTTGAACTCAATTCAAGATTAAAAATCTAAGATCATAATATTCTTGCTTATATATAAGAATATCTATTCTTGATTTAAGACTAATTTTTCTCCCGTGCATTCGTTTCATTTTAAATTGTATATTTTATAACATAACATCTTTTTTCTCTCTTTTTTTTTTATTATGTATTGAATTACTAATTATATCTGCTGTATCAACGGAATTCTTCCCGTAAATAAGTAGAAATAATAATAATTATTATTCCATCTATAGTTATTTACAGTTATCTGTCCAAGAAAAAAAGTCTGATTGTATTAAACAGAAAAAAAAACAACCAGATGCATTTTGGTCGAAAGTTCTGTTTCCTTCGACTATATCTGATTATTCCCTTTCTGATTAACGCAATGAGATTTTTCCCCGCGTAGTTACCTATAGTTATAAAATATCCTCAGCCTATCCGTAGTTATATTTATAGCTGTAATATCTTTGACCGCGTCGCGGGACGGGTAATTAATTAAATCTCCAGCTCGATCTGTTCTTACCGTCAAGCGTCGTATCGATGAGGAGAACCGTCGTTTGCACGGGTGTTCGGGGGACAGGTCGTACGTAGAGTTCATAGGTGTCCAGCTCCCTCGAGAAACTCGCCGGCTAAATGTCGGCCATGCGAATCTGTCCACGTACGCGAAACGTTCGCCGGCTTTTCGCACACAGGGAATGCCCACGCACATACGCGGATACTCTCGATAGGTAATCGGTATCTCCGGCGGTCACAGAGCTACGCGTTAAACAACGTTGCCCGCGTCGATCCGTCCTCCGATCGTGTCGTGATTTATTCTCGATGGCTTTGCGGAGGGAAATAATTCGCGAAGCCCGCGTCGCATCCGTCGTATTTATCGTTATTTATCACGACCGATGCTAATCACGCTCGATCCTGCCGCGACGAGATCGTATTAATTACTCGCTTGACTTTACGTACCGTTAATTCAATGCTCACGCGGCTTAATCTACTTACGCGCGTACCGTTGACTCGACGTCGTTATCTTTTAATCTAATTTCATCATTACAACGCAGTTGTGTCACGGCGGGCGATCAATCCGACGGGCCCCGACACGGGTAATGACTCGCTCTTTCTCTCTCTTTTCTTTTTTTATTCCTCCTCTCTTCTTTCTCAAAAATTCAGCCATTCGTCGGATTTTTCGCTCGCCCAGCTTCCAGTGCCCGTGATAACAAATCGGTCGTTACGTTAAACGATGGATGTGCCCTTCGTACTGCCGCGTCTTGTTTCTCCCGGCGAGAACATTATTAACATCGCGGTCGGATTAGCAATCGTCCGTTTCTCGCGTTCGCACCGGGCATTCTTAAATAATTAAACCTACCGTGAATTAACGCGATGCGCCGACGATGCGGTCGAAGGATGGACGACCTCGGGCCGCGCTCGCGAAATTTTCCCAGGGTGGAATTGCAATTAACGTTTCGCGATACGTCGAATCGCGGCTCGGCAAACAGCGAGACGCCGCAATTTCGA